TCTCTCTCTCTCTCTCTCTCTCTCCCTCTCTCTCTCTCTCTCCCTCCCTCTCTCACCTCTGGCCTGCAGCATGAGACTCACCTCTAGCATGTGGGGGGCTACAGGGGGTCCTCAAAGCTCCACCGGGCCTGGGACCGATGGGGTAGGTGGTTCCCGCCGGACAATCAGGCTTCAACCCAGGCTGCTTTGCTCCTGCGGGGGTGCTGGAAGAAAACAGAGGAGAGAAAAGGGGATATGAGTCTTCAGAAGGTGTCCCGTCCCCCTTGGGGCCTGCGGAAGGTGCCAGAACCGATGGATGACCGGTACGGATGTCCCTCAGTGGTTAGGGGCCGGCCAAGCAGGGTTTGAGTGAGTCAGGTTTCTTTTCTGCATGCGTGATGCCACAGTGGAGGCATCAAGGGTGACGAAGTCAGTGTCCCAGAAAGGCAGGGAGGGGCGGAGAATGAGGAGTCATCCGCTGACATGCTTTAATGATTGTACTCGCACAGCTTTAATCTTAGGATAATACATTACTGTCCGTTATTATTCACCAGACGTTTACTTTAAGGTCTCACGCAGCGGTGCGGATTTGTGATTGATGGTGATCGAGGGTGCGTCGCACGCTTCTGTCTGCGTTCACAATCAGGCGGTAAGAGGGCCCTTGCCTAAGGCAGTGTTGCCATTGTCCAAGTAAAGCAAACTGGCTCCTTCTTCCTACAGGGACTTTGTTGTCTGGAATCCTGAAAGGTTCCCAGAAGACACTTCCTGTTGCTATACTCAGAATCTGAGCTCAAAGGCCCAAGCTGCCCAAAAAATCACAAGGTCGGCTTCCAGTTTGGTGCCTGGGGTGTCATTGCTTGCAAGGGTTTGAGGGTGAGTCCAAAGCTGAAATAGATGCACACTTCCCATCCTGTCGATGGGGGCGGAAGCACGCAGATGGATTAAGGGGATTCTGGGGAGGTTAAGGGAGGCCAGGTATGCGGGCTGACAGCCAGAGGCTCAACCATTAACTTGCTCCAACCGCCTGGAAGCTGGCACTGCTTAGCATTTTAAAGGAAAAGATGAACAATGCATTTAATGAACACACAGGAGTGGAAAATGTGTAATTACAGCTCAAGGGAGAGATACCTTTACAAATAAGGCCTGCAGAACTGGTCAGGCCTCCTGCTACATCACCTTTTTAGGTAGCTGTGAACAGGAATTTTAAGAAAAAACTCCAAATATCTGTAGCTCTGAAACTTACCACAATAGAGCATTATAAAAGTATTCAATCAACTGGGGCAAAAAAAAAAATCAAGGTCACAGAAGTATAAAGTAAGACAGTGCCAAGAATGTATTTAGGAGGAAAATAGCTGTGTTGGTGGTCCAGTGAACTCCCACTCGATTGTAAATCTCCTAACATTCTGGATACTACCTAACATACCAAAGTGACATGGGCCACACGGACACCTGGGAAGTGACTGTATCCACGGCTTTTACTGGGAACATGCAAATCGTTTGGCATGGCGAGGCTGGTGACCCAATTAGGAACTGCATGGGAAAATTTCAAGTGGAATTACTATCCCATTGTAACAGTGGAAGAGTGAACCTCACAATTGTGCAATGAGCTGTGTTTGGGAATAGGGAGTCGAGAAAGAAATGGGAGACAAAATCGACAAACAGCCTTATTTTGAGTGAATAAGGTGCTCCTTAAAGCAATGAGAAAAGGTTGGAAATGACAGATGACCACAAATACAGAAAGTTACTGCTACTGATGGACAGGCTCAAACAAAACAAAAACAAGTGGCTTAGCTGTTAGCCGTTAGTGTGCAACACACAGATTGATGCAGGTTTTCCTGCTCAGCTTAGCTGAAACAAATGCCCCTCAATGCGAGACCGGGGCGTCCTGATCAGGGAAGGATTCCTTACTCAGACGTGGCTGTCACACTTCCAGACACATGCCTAGGCGCAAACTCACACACACACACACACACACACACCAAACACCAAACGTGACCCACGAGAATTTCACCTGGTGTTCTGTCCCGCTCTTGTTCCGTGAGCCGTTCCTGGGCTGGGGCCTCGGGGCGCCTGGGAAACACAGATGGCATTGAAGGCTGTCTCGGTTGCGTGGCTCGACCTATCGCTCTCACAGAGTTACGGGGAAAATAATACAGGCGCTCAGAGAGTGGAGGTGGTGGACACACCCCCCCTGGGCAAGCCTCACTCCCCTGGGTCTTACGCTCCTCTGGGTATCGTTACAGTTTGCTGTCCCGTCAGCAGCTGGGGGAAGGTGTGTTTTTAAGAAGTGTCAAATGGCAGGTGGAAGTCTGAATTAGTGTACCGCTTCCCGGCGGACAGTGTTCCGGATGGGAACTGAATCTGTGAGTCCACTCTGTGCAAATTCAGGAACAAAGTGACGCGTCATGCTTCCGCATGCAATGCAGCAGGCATTGTTACCCGAGACAGTCGCATTCACCATCTCATCCAGGTCCCAAGCAGAATCAAAAGAGAAGCAGATCAGACACACCCGCTACTGATTTCCCGTTGGCAGACAAAGGAGGGCGACTGGCGGCTGCCGTGTTTTAGCGAGCCCCCCAGTGGGGGGGCGGGGGAGGGGAGGGGGGTCACACGAGCGGAGGTGATGTTGGCATGCAGGGTCAGCTCCTCTCACAAATGTCCAACAGACAAAGTCTGCACCGTCCCCCCCGGGGGAGAGGCTAAGTGGGAGGCGAGGTGGGGGGGTGGGGGGGTGGAGCAGAGTTGGCCTTATCGTCGTACCTTTGATTTAGGTACTTAAGCTGAATCGTTCCAAATTACTATCGGATTGTTAATTGACTGATTATAATGGCATTTTCCATGTGAATTTAACCAAAATCAGCTAGGTGAATTAAACTGGTCAATCTGCGATCTATTAATGGCAGGAACTGGGAGCATGACTCGGGTGGGGGGGGGGGGGCATCAGCAGAGTCATGGGGGCTGAGTACCTGACCCCGGGCTCTCCGCTGCTGTTTCTGAGACAGCCTCCGCTCCAGGCCCTGGATGTCCGAGTCCAGCTCGGCCTCAAAGCGGCTCAGCTCTGTGACCAGCGTCGCCTGGCCCAGGCGATCGGGGGGTGGGGGGGGTTACAGAGGGGTTATGCAACACCCTCCAGAGACAAAGAGCACAGAAATGACGCTGCTCCCCTTTGTGTTACAGAAAGCACGCTCTCTAAAGACCCAAAACTTACAATCACCACATTTCACCCAAATGAAATATAATTCCCAGGACATTAATGAAGCGTACACAGCTAGTAATGTAAAATGCACCCTCCTGAGGTCCAGAGCAGAAGCATTAGACGAAACCAAAAGCACCCGAAGCAGCTCAAAGTGGAGATGTGGCTGTTTGTCACTCACCTCGATGGAAGGAGAATGAGCCCTAGCAGGAGGTCGGTACAGGAACCGCTGACTCTGAGAAGGACACAGCCTCGGTCACCACGGTAACCAGAGGAGAACAGCAGCCACATGTGCTTACAGAGAACCAGAGTGGGGAATCTGCACATATGCAGAAGATGACATTGCTGCTGATGGGGTGCATTTAACTTTATATGTTTATCGGCTGGTCACTGATTACATAGAAAACAGGTAATAAAGTGGTGAGCAGACTGCTTTTACGGCGTGAGAGTTAAAGACTTTGCATTTCTTGGCCTTTATTGGGTTGTTTTTTTTTTTTTTGAGACTCCTTCGCAACACGAGACGACCCCCCCCCCCCCCACCCCACCCCCGTGCCAAAAGCCAGGCGTGCGGCGGGAGCTCACCCACCACAACCAAAATAATGCAGACCATAAGTCGTCTTGGTGAATAGCGGAGCCCGATATGGTACAAGCGTCTCCCAGGTGGTAGTGGGGGGTGCGTCTCTCGGCAACAAGCCGAGTCCCGTGATGAGTGAACAGGGTAGACAGGATGCCTCAGTTTGGGGGGCGAACAATATTTCTCTTCATCCCTCTCTCCCCCCCCCCCCCCCCCCCCCCCCCGACCATACCATACCACTTGACTCCATTCTGCAACCCATGGACTCGCCCACCACCTCTCTGGCAGACAACAGACCCACACTGCCAGCTCAGAATAAAGCAGTGAGCTGTACTGTGAGGAGCACTGCAGACACCACTGCATCCCTGCACACATACTGGTTCCCTGGTTTCACAGGTCCTCCTTTCTAAGGAGGTCTTTTGTCTGGGACAACTACAAAGGAGGCCCATTCACTGACGCTTGGCATCTGGCACTGGCCCCGAGTTCTGTTCTCTGTGTTTTATTTTTACCGTTCCTATGTAGCCAGGGACATACCTAAAAATTTTGGGGCCCCACCCAATTTTGCATGTAATTTTATGTCTTCAAGGGCCCCTGTACAGTGCTGGGCCCCCTGAATACAGCAGGGTATCTGTGACCCTCTTGTGCCCCTGAATGTGACACAGAAAGGGGACTGCAACAGGCAAACGCCTCACCTAAAGCCTCAGACTCTTCACAGGGTAGGGAAGGGGCCCCGGAGGGGGGGGGGGGCGCATGCCGTCTGCTCAGAGACATGCCTTTGGTCACACAGGTCCGAACACGCCTTAGCGCCGGGTCGTCTCCACACTAAACCTGCCTATAGACCACTCTAGCAGCAGCCGGCCCTACAGCCGCCCCAGTGCCTCACTGGCAAACAACAAAGGGGCACTCTCAAGCCAGGGAATAGGACCCCAAAGGCGTCTATCCTAAAGCCTGCACTCCTCTCTGAACACACCACAGGCACCGTAGCAGAGATCTCTACACACATGCCTGTACGATGTATACGGTGTGTAAAGATTCCATCGTTTTTTTGTTATGCAAATGAATCCTACTATGCGCACACATTGCGATACTCCGCAGTCATTTACAAATCGCTTCCATATATGTTTCTTTTCCATCTTCAGACCTTAAATATGGGAACATTCTGCTCAGAGACAGACCCATACCATTCATTTACATCGCTCACACACCATCTACAGCAGAAAGAAGAATGAGAAAAACTAGATAAAACAGCACAAAGTCGCTAATCAGACCGGTTCGCTAAGCTGTGCAGGGGCGGCTGGAGCAGACGGGCCCCTCTTTACCTTGACGGAGTCGGGTGTCGGGGCTCCCTGCTCGGGCTCGTAGTCATATATGCTGCGGGGCTCCGGCCTCTGCAGGTCACGCACTCCGTCCCCCAGCCGGCTCCTGCGACACACCCACACAGACAGACACAGGCGGACAGCTACTCCACAGTGCTCTCACTGCTGCCACCTGCAGAGACACATCCCCAGCCCGCCCCCCCCCCCTCGCCGTGTTACCCCACCCTAATCCTCCCGCAGGGGTATTTGCTAAAATTCCTGCAGTAGGTGGTTCTTCAGGTTCTCGTCTATCAGGTGGTAGGAGCACGTTTGTTTGACACTGTAGCTATGAAATTTATGTAACCGAGCAAAATCTGCCCTCATGGGCGTAAATTATAGGGGGGTGGCGGGTTGTAACCCCCCCCCACACCCCCAACAATCAAGACCAGCCAATACACCAGCAGAAAAAGAGAAAAATTAAATAAAAAAGCACGAAGTCACTAATCCAACCTGACCTCCTAATCATCCCTTGTATCTAACTGGTGAATTCTCTCCTACCCCTTCGCCACCTTAGCTACTGTGTGGTGAGCGTACTGGTGCAGACTGGCTGCTGTCGCATCATCCAGGTGGGGGCTCCACACTGATGGCTCCCCATTGCTTCTGTAAAGACTTTGGGTGTCTTGAAAAGGGTTATATAAATGCAACTTTCATTCATTTATTCATTCACTACAACCCCCTAGACCCCCATAAATGGATGGAGACCCCATCCTCCCCAAATGCTCAGCCCAAAGTCATGCCCTTGTCTGCCCTTATTATTATTTACGTGTTTATCTGCTTGTAACCATCTACGACAGCAGTGGGCAATCTTATCCAGGTTGGGCCATTTGTTATGCAGGTTTTCGCTTTAGATTACTAATTAGAGAACTGATTAGCTGAAGAGTCCTCACACCTGGGTTTGAACAGCTGACCTAAAGGTCACCCCAAAAACCTGCATACGCACCAGCCCTTTGTGGGTAAGACTGAAGCTGGACTCACCAGTCAGGCAGTGCTCCGTGCACTGTGAGGATGAAGGGGTCCCGTTCAGCTGGTGGTCCCCGCGGTGTGTCGACAGCAGTTGTGCATGTGGGCGAGGCCCTGTCACCTGGGAAACAAAGATGAAGAACCACAGGCTGCACTCCCAGCATGCCTCTCTGCTGGAAGCCACGCGGAACTCGAGCTCCCCCTTCAGAAACAGGGGGCGGGCCACTCATACTGCACTTACCGTCTGTCAACCAGGGCCCAGAGGTCACCAGGTCAGGTTCTGCAACAAAACAAGCCCCCGTGAACGACCCAAACACAAACTCGCAGAAATGCTCCGGTCTGACGGGGAGGAAGCGTGCAGGTGAGTCACCAGGACCGAGGGGTCTGGAGTCTATCGAGAAACACGCCAGTCCATTGCAGGATGCACAATCGCACATTATTGGCTATTCAGAGACACCAATTCACCTGACCATGTTTGTTAAACAGGAGGAGAAAAGCCCCACAGACAGTATGAACATGCAAACTCCACATACACAGAGCCTGGGGTAGGATTCGAACCCACAACCCTGGGGAAGTGAGCTATAATGCCGCCCCCTATCTCCACCTAATACTCAGCGATGTAATATAGATGGCTGTTACATACACCATTCCAATAGCATGACCTCCTCTTTCTGTTAAACCACAACACCTTACTGTCAAACATACTCGTCATCTCACAGGTGATTATCTCTCCTTTGACAGTGTAACTCGGTGCCTACATGTGTAAGAGCCAGATGACGAGGGAGAAGTCTGAGCACAGAAAACCAGTCCGGCCATGAGAGGATGACGACGCATCGAGACGGAAGTGAAAAGGGACCCGTCCTCCACCTCACTGCTTTCACAGAGTATTTTATATCTAGCCACGCCCATCTCCGGCCACCACCTTCAACCTGTACTCTGTCACTTCACGCAGAAGGGGGTGGAGGGGCCGTGAGTCGGGACAGGTCACGAGGCAGGAGAGGGGGGCGGGGTCCTTGCCTGCCGGCTTCCTGTGGATCTGCCTGAACATGCTGCGGTACCAGTCCTTGGGCTTGTTCACACTCTGTTGACCGAAGGCAAAGTGAAGATGAGTCAACACAGCCTATAGCTAAAGTGAGGATTAAGACAGAATGAACAAAGATTACACAACAGTGGGATGATCAGCTGCCAATGTGAAATAAAGGTTAAAGGAATTCTCCTAATTCTAGGATACAAATTGTCTGTTAGAATAGCAAAACTTTCTGACCTTGTTATGAGGTCAAAAGACTTGTGTTGATTGTTATCCTGAACCTCCCGTCTCCCAGGGATCCTTATCTCAGTGTTTCTCAACCCAGTCCTCATGGACCTCCAGCAGTCCATGTTTTTGCTCCCTCTGAGCTCCCTGCCAGACGGTCCATGTTTTTGCTCCCTCTCAGCTCCCTGCCAGACGGTCCATGTTTTTGCTCCCTCTCAGCTCCCTGCCAGACGGTCCATGTTTTTGCTCCCTCTCAGCTCCTTGCCACATTGTTGCTCTGGATAGGGAGCTGGGAGGGAGTTAAAATGGGGATTGTCTGGGGTTCCCCGAGGACTGGGTTGGGACACACTACCCTAACCCCGGTCTTGTATACAAACGATGCTGACCGATCTGGAGGCGATGGGCATTCCCGTCTCGTCCACGGGGCCGATGCCAGAGAACTTGATCAGCCTCTCCTCAGCTCGCGTGGGCATTCTGGGTAACGTGGCAGCTGACCCACTCCAGGACCCATTAGCTGAGGAACCTGTGACAGGCAAGAGGAAAAGTAGCGTTTATATTATACAAGCTGACGAGTGGCTCCTCCATTATACTAAAGCCTGACTGACTCTGCTTTTTGTGGACGTGTCAAATTCTGCTAGATTCTACCACAGACATGTAGTGTCTGCTAACGACGGACAACTGGCAGCCTGCAGGCCATCCTGTGTAAAAACATGAAATGCGTGTTTTACAAATGAGCGAAATAAAAGCAATTTGAAATGAATACTAGCGCATCGTGCTGCCTGACCACTAGGAGGAGCTGGAAACAGTCATCAGACGAAATGCAGAACGCGAGGGGTGAGCTGAATAGCAGGTATTCAGCATGAATAACGCGTCATTTCTAAAGCCGTCTGCCATCCACACATTAATAACGAATATTCATGTCTATCGTCAGCGGTTCTTTCCATTTTCTACTTTGCGTTGTATTATATGCATGTATGAGTAATTCCTTGGTTAGACGTAGGTCTGGACAGGATTACTGTAGCCTGATGGCTTGAGTACTTTATGTAGTTCACCTTACGTTTACTCTTTGTCCCTTGTGTTCTTTTTACATGATTATACCGCAGTATACAGTATTTTGGCGGCATTTTTAAAAAATATGTTGATTTCTTGTTAACATGATTTGAGATGTTGCGCAGCCTAACTGCAGAAAGCTGTAGGGTTCTGTAATGTACAGTCGACCCTTCTGCAGTTTGGACTTTCCCTGTCGCAGTTTCGGTATATTGTGCAGTCGGCATAAGAAATTAAAGTGGAATTTTTTAGTTGTTTTGCGAAAGCCACAGACGACACACAAAACATTTAGTAACTTATAAATGCATAAAAATATATGTACAGAGTTGGTTTGGAAGATGCCAAACGTTTTCACGGCAGCCTCTGTCGTGAAACCTCGCAGATATCGCGCAGTGATCCTGGTATCCCATGTTTCTTGTATCTTATCTTTTCGCTTCGTTCCGCTTGCCTGCTCTCTTAGCTCGGCAAAGGGACCAAAACATTTTACCTGGTTTTTCCAGATCGCAGGGGGGGCTGTTCCCCGCAATGTGGAAGGGTGGGCTGTATTACATTATTAAAAATGGTTGCAGTACATTTGTTCTGGGCCAATACCAGAGTGGCCCCCTACTCGACAAATCTAACTGACCCCGTGATGAAAAATGCTAGACTCTCTGCTAACTCAGATACACTATAAACAATACTAGACTCTACACCAGCCATACTGCAAGCAAGCATCACTAAATAGTGTTTCCCAACCCAGTCTTAAGGTCCCCCAAGGGGGGGTTGGGAAACACTGACCAACAACAGTAAAGTATTCTCTTATTTTCTTTTTTACAAATATCAAAGTAACCAAAGTTCATGTACATCGATTATAATACATAACACCATAAAATACAAAACACTTGCAACGGTTGCTTCCGTAGCCCCAAATTAAAAAAAAAGATCCATGTGTTACTACAACTGCAGTGCTGAAATATTGCATAGTTGATGTCAGTACTGCATGCAGCCACTGGAAGGCAGTAGTTCACAATAGTCCATTTACTAAGCTTACCAATTAACGTCCTCTTGTTTAATCCAGTGCTGGTCAATCCATCAGGCAACACTTGTGACAAGTCCCCCCCCCACCCAAATGCAAGGGGCATGTAATGAGAGGAGGATTGGGGCAGCACACATTAAACATGCATGTACACACTCATGTAAACTGAGGTATTTCTGAATTAACCTCCCGCCAGGTCTGGTTCTTAAGAATCATAGGATTGCTGCCATCTGACATTTGAGATTCGTGCCGCATCGTTGATCCTCTGTTGGTTATGATCCACTTGCGCTTGTCTTTTTATACTCATTTCCCAACTGGCTGACTGGCAACATAAAATAGACCCTGCAATTTTACTTTTTGTGGATGACCAAGTCACAGTGAAGAAACATTAATCGTGTTCATTGTTTTCCTAAAAAATGCTTTATACTGCTGCACGTTCGTCTTGCAGAAAAGCCCAAGCCATGAAAATGAGGTTTTGAACCATATTAAGCCAGGAAAGTCACAGCTGGATGCCAAACTGTGCACAGGAGTTTTGGCTGTTTTTGAACATCGCAATAGGCGCTGACGTTGCACAAATGCTTAAAGCATTGACAATAACATGAAGATTACATCCAAGTCCTTACCAGCTGGCTGGAAAGGGCCATAGTAGGTGCCAAAGTTGGGGACAGGAAGGGCACCTCCATTGACTTCTGAGGCCTGAAGATAGACGAGGTTTCAGATGACAGAAAAATAAAAACTATGACAGCAGTAAGGAACACAATGTGAAAACCAGCTAGAACAATGTTTACCACAGTAACAAACCGCAATTGGTTTGATGCCAGGAACTGTCATGGGGGGGTATTTACTCCTAAATCAAAGATGTACATTCTCAGAACAAAATGTGTGCCTTTGCTTGTCACTGGGCCGGTACCCTTGTAATTGTACCTTTTAAGGTACAGAAATGGACCCTGAGGAACATCCCAAAGGCACAAACAGCATTAATGTACCATCAATGACACAGAAATGTTCCTTCTCTGTATCTTAAAAGGTGCAGTAACCTACAGCTGAGGGTACAATTAACAGACCCTTGAGGGTACAGCCTCAGTGATAAAGGTTTTTTTCCGAGAGTGTAGCTAGAAACACAAGTGTTCAATGACCCCGCAGTAGCCGGGTTTACCATCTGCTCCCCGGAGGGGGGCGCCTTGTGGCCGGGGTCGCCCGCGTGATATGGGCTCTGGGGAGGGGTGAGCAGTCCAGGCGAGATCACCACCACCTGCTGGGCCAGATCCAAAGGGCTCTGGCACCCACTGCCGACGCCACCATCCGAGAAGGCGATCCGCGAGCCGTTCACATGGTCCAGGATTTCCACATGTCGCTGCGGACACGGGGGACGGCAGCTTGGGTGACCTTCCCCCTGCTTGTACACGACACACACACACACACACACCAACCCTCCACCCATCCAGCACTTCCCAGGACCTGTCTATCCCAAAGGCTGGCTGGACAGGGGAACATCCACAGCTCACCTCGGAGTGCTAATTAGCCTCTGTTCCCCGGGTACAGCTGAGAGTCCGAACCTAGAGGAAGTGCCATTCCACCTACTCCATCAGCTCGCTTGCGTGGGTCAGAGAATGGAGCCCATTCAGCGGGTCGAAACAGGAGAGGCTCATTATGTGCCCATTAAACAGACATCCAGCAAAGCCCTCCGTTCGGAGATGCAAAGGCGTTGCTAGGGCGGCTTGGGGGAGGGGGAGGAGGGGTCAGGGATGTAACCGGGCTGGCCGAAGGGCGGCGATGCTCTTTTTCGCATCACAGCCTTGTTTCCATGGAAACCTCCCCCGCCCCGTCCGGCACACCCACCGGCATCTCATCCCAGCCTTAATGGATGGGAGGGCTGTGCAGAGCATAGCCGTTAGCACACCGGGGTCATGGGAAGCGCCACCGTTTCTCACAGCTCGTGAAATCGTATCTAGATAAATCAGGGCGCAGCCCTTTGTCGCGCTAAAGACTGCAGCATTTAAATGGAAATTCTAGCCCGACCTCAAACAGCTTCCTACTGCACTCTGTTTTGTTCCATTTGGCGTTCGCCTTGTCATTTAACGCAGCGAAACGACGTCCGTCCAGGTACGATCCGGACCGAATCCGCACTCGCGGCCCTCTGAGACACCCCCCCCCCCCCCCCGACACAGCTCTGCAAGTACAAAAGCAGCTTTGAAGTGGAACCGTAGCTGAGACACAGCTGTCAGAACTGTAGACCCACTTCGGCCCCTCGATGTTCACTGGGATCGGCCTGCAACCCCAGGCCTCGCTATGAGTGGCGATGGCGCTCTGTTTACACAGCTGTCAGGAAGCCAGAGGTTATGGATCTTTGTTTTGTCTGAATCTCACCTGGCAGCTTTAGTAAATATTGTTCTTTTTTTAAATCGTGAGGCTGTCAACAGAATAGAAAAAAGTGTCTTTTAGAGTGACGTCATTGTCCAGTACCTGAGGCTGCATTTCATCTGGTTTTGTCCCTGCTTCTTGATTACTAGCAGTTATCTCTTAGTGAGCAGATCACCGATCTCTGGAGGTGAAGACAAAAAAGGAAAAACACAGTCACATTGCTGATACCATATTAAAACATGATGATCAACAGGATTACAACAGGGACAGGACAATCATCCCAAAATGAAAAAAAAAAATCTTAATTTCTTCTCACTGATGTTTGGTTTTCAGTTTTTTTCCATTTTCCCTAAGCATTACCGTTGCGATTCTACAGCGAAAAACTCCGAACGTGCACTGAAGGTTCCTGCTCCATCCCCCTTTATAACTGCACACAAACAATAAAACCCATTGTTCTCACGTCTAATCAAATCAGGTACCGAACACTAACATCCTGCTCCTCAGTCCTGCCGCTCGTCCAAAGATGAGCAGTAATGAAAGTCACCTGCAGAGCCTCATACAGGTCACATGACGCCGGCTGAGCCATCGCACACGCCAACATTTCCTCCTCTCGGCAAAACACGTCTCAGACCCCTGCAGTTGAGTTTTGGCAGCACGTCAAGTCAGAAATTAGATAGCAGGTTGTGGAAGCGGGCAGATATCCCATCTTTCAGAGTCGGCTTCTTCAAAGCCAATGAGCGCATAGCGGTCTGAATATCTCCATATTTAGAGCACTAAAGGGTCCTGCTTCATTTAATGCACCTTCCTGGTGCCACACTGCTGTGTTACTACAGGGAGAGGAGCAACACGCAGCCAATAGCTCTTCAATACAAAAGCAAGGCTTTCGTGAACTGTTCTATAGCAGCGTTCATCTCGGGATTCCAGAATGGAAAGTTTGGTTTATATTCCTCTGCTGTGGGGGCCAGTCGATGGACTAACAAATTTCTTTCATTCCGACCAGGACTGTGTGATTGGCGGAGAGGTAGAGAGATGGTCTGAACTCTAAATCAGACGCCGCAGTACCTCTGGAAGATCAGATACTGCCTGTTGGCACATAGATGGATATGGAGGAGATCACATCCAGAGAAACATGGAGGTGACCATATGACAGGAAGGAGGGGTACAAGTTGCACCAGGGGCGGTTACCATAGAAACCAGTCTCCTCACCGAAGGAGCCAAACTTTTTACATAAGACCTTAAAAGTAATTAGCAACAATGACCTTTCCTTTTTGGGTTTATTACAGATAACCTGTTCTGGGGTAGGTTAGTACCTATAATTAACAATACCAAATTCCAGAGGAACTTGGTATTCGTCCTCCCCTAATTGTTCCAAGGAGTTACATCATTGTGAGTCACTCACATCAAATGAGCACATTAAATAAGGAAAGGAATATGTCGAGTGTCTGATGCCGGTGTGATTCCCACCCAGTAATCCACAGCACAGCTCCCGAGATCTGCAGTCAGCAGGACAAATTCACCGGAGCCAAAGGTACATTTTCAACAACTTCATTCACTCTTCATCACAGTCAGCGCTGGACTGGGATTTAAAATCAGCCCAGGTAATGCCCAGTATCCCATTCCAGCCCTGACTATAGTACTAAGAGCTCCAGTTGTGATTTGACATGATGCCACCAAAGACGTTGGCACACAAGGGTCAAGGATTCTGGGCAGTGATACTGGGCAGTGGCTAGATCTGAGAACAGTGGCCTGTATTCCATACCCATTCGCACAACCGACCTTTTCTACACTGACTGTTTCATTCAGTATGGCAGCAGATCGAACAATTAGCATCCTTCTTCATCATTACACTGCTGCCATTCATGTGTGTGCGCATGTCTCTGGCTTGAATAAAAGTACGCTTTCTTCTGTAACTGTTTCCCCTTTTCATTGAGTATCTGATTGTGCTGAGGTTTTGGGAATCGAAGCCTTGTGCTCAGATCGACACTTTAACGTCAGTCCTCAGCACGGTGCGTTTTAATTTTCCATTGTCATTGTGTCCTTCTCTGTCATCCGCTTCTCCTGAATTCCCTTGGGACTAGCATGGAGGATTTTAAACAAAAATAACATCCCAACAGCAGGGAAAAAAGCACCTCAGGCTTCATGAACCCTAAAAAAGCAGAGCTGACTGTCAGTCGGTCTGTCACATCACTCCTAAGCAAGAGCTGGGATAAATGATAACTTTGAATGAAGCACCACCCTGACGTCCGGCCAACTCGCTAAGTGTCACAGTAGAGGAAGCCAAAGATTAAATCCAGACCTAATAAGGTAAAATCAGACTGAATGTTGGGTGAAAATCTTTCCCCGGAACAACACTGCCCTGTCGAACATGTTTTCTTTGCATCTCATTCGCTGGAGGTGCCCCTAAATCATCAAGACAAATCCCCCTCACTCCCATAGGACGGGATTCCCTCCAAGCCAAGGGCTCACAGAATGTTTGTTTGCCGCTGGGGATTAATGGAGGGGCGGCTTCATTCTTGCGAGTTACGCCAAGCGCTCCGAGCCACATATTTACAGATGTGTTTTCCCTAATATGGCTCTGTCATCTCCGGCCTACACAGCCGTCCTGCTCAATTACTGCCGGCCCTGACAAGAAGCCCCAGAGAGCATCGTCGCTTGCCACCGGTTGAGTAAACTTGGCTGTGACTCTAGAGGTGACTCCAGTAATCTGGAGGCTGTCACGGCGCGGATGAAAGGCGCCGGCCTGCTCCACGGACGCTGTAACTCTGCGAGGTGCTAAATGCTGGAACGACAACGACACTGTTGTTTTAGCTCTCTTGCACAAGCCGTTTTCTCACCAGGGTTTCTGGGAGACAAGAAAAGCATCTTTCTATAAGACAAAGAGTGTGAAGGTAAATCTGTCCGATTCCCCGGCTGCTGCTTTAGGCTCTGGAACTCAGCTACATGCTGGCTTCTCTCAGGAATCCTCTGCTTGCCATTGCAAAGATGGGTGGGTGTGTATTCTCACGCACAACTCAATGGGCTTCAGGAGAATTACGCGTGGATTACAGACAGAGCCTGTTAAATCACCGGCACATGGACGATCCTGGCATGGACCAGTTTATCAGAGGCTTGCTTGTTACAGTGTCCTGGTGCGGTGAGCGCTTGTGAACACCGTGCCAAGTGCACGTTGCACAATACATCTGTCAGGAGAATGTTCGCTTGACTGCACCCGGAAGCCTGGAAGTATCATTCTTTACATCTCCTAGTGGTTACTTCCTGTCCCACTGGAGAAGATGAAGCCTTCCTAAGTGAAGACAGTATATCTTTTAAAGTAGCTGCAAATTATAAAGTCCTTGAACACAATAAATATAGTCTGGATTACCACGTACTTTTTCCAGCACTGGGCTGGTCCACGACCTTCTCACCTTCCGACATGACATTCCGATTACAGCTCGGATGAATCAGCTTCAGGAGGCACCTGTAACCTCTGTCGACCTTCTTCTCTCTCTCTGGCTGGCAGTGGGGAAACTGCAGGAGTCACTACATTGAGCCTGACCATTTCACACGTTAGACTGGGGGGTCTGGCCCAAGACTGCGAGGTGGGTGTCATCTGCAAACAGAGCTCTGGTATTTGTTTGCCAGTTGCTGGAGGATAGCTCCCGTTGTCAGGGCCTTCAAAACACCCACGGGTGGAGTTTTAACAGCCCGCATAGCTATCCCTCGAACTTCAGCCCTTAAAGTAAACTCTTGTTTTAAGTTTAAATTTCTGTGTACTGAGATTCAGACACCGTCCCTAAAACACTGGAAGAACAGGAAACAGATGCATTAGATTTGCCTAACAAACATGTAAATCTGTTCCTGCTTCTCTCTCTTTGGCAGTCTTCCGCCGCATCACAACTTCAAAGCTAACTTCTTATTATCACGTGTTTATCACGTCTCTTCACAGAAGTCGTTTTTTTTTTTGTTCAGTCGTTAGGCTGCATATTGGCACCAGGGCGTTAAGATGCGGAACTCCCCTCAGCGAAGCCAAGCGCTGTCCCAAGCGAGGATGTGCATTCTCCGAGAAAATTCTCCAGATAACAGCACCCTTTGCAAGATGACCCTCAAGATACCTGCTCGTTCTGAGAAGACAGGCCTGCAAAGGGAAGGTCTCCTTGAGTGAAAAGCTGGGTGCTACCAAAAGTGGAGATGAACCATACAAGGACGTGGAGGGTCTCCTGCTTATTAAATGTTTTTTTTTGAATATACACATGAATCATACGTGAATTTGGCTTGTCTCCTTGTATGGCAGTGTTCCTCCCCCAGCGGTCAGTTGCGATGGGACAGAGCCTCTACCTCATTCGGTACATTAATGAAGATGTTCATCAACCAGCTCTTTCATATGTTAATATGTTAATTATGTAATCATCTATTTCTCTGTCAGAGGCACCAGTGGCAAAAAGCTGGACTTGGGAAACAGGCTTAAAATTTATCCTTCACTATACTCCCATAAGCACCAGACTTATTACAATCCCCCGTTCCACCCACATCTTTCCCATACAAGTTTCATTCCTCTTCCAACAGTGGTGGATAATTCCGGTCCAGAAAGTAAATACCCAGACCAAGGTTTTTTTCCAACCAACCTGTTGAGTACTCTATGACTGTGACTCTTTATACTAAACTGGTTGGTTGAAACAAAACCTTGGTCTGGATTTTTACTTTTTGGACCTGAATTTTCCACCTCTGTCTACCAACGACTGTGGTGTTGTCTGGTAATATCTGTTATTATTTATCGACATTAACAGGATTCATTCACTACAGATGTGGAGCACAGAGGTGCGTTTTGCTATAGAAACCAATCAGTTCGATGATCACATCTTCAACCAGCTGCTCTTTTAAATTAGTATCGGTATAGATAAAATATATCACATTTTCATATATGAAAAGGAGAAGCAGAGTTGATCATGAGATGGTTTATCTGTGAAAATGAATTGCTCTATCAGAATCAGGTGCATCTGCTGACATTCCATTCCATGTCTTTCAGGTAGGTAGGTAGATAAGAGAAACGACGATTACAGGCAGGGTCAACTGAAGGGGACATTTTGAAGGTGTATAAAGATCTCCTATGGTAGGGGACATTCTCCAGAAAACCAAAGGGGGCAACTGAGCCTTACATCGGTGCCAGCAGGAGCAATTAATCTGAGGATGCCGTCCATTCCTATCTGCATCTCAGGGGACGACCGTCACCCACCTGCAGCTGTCAGCATCCAGCTCGCAGCAGAAGTCATTTCTAAATCTGCAAAAAGCCTTTTTATAACAGAAACTGAAATTCAAAATGCTAAGTACATCTTTAGATAAATCCTGAGGAATATAAACCCCAGATTCATCTCTTTTGGTCTGACCCACCATCCCGGTCATATCCTGAGACTTTCCTAAAAGCAGCACAGGTCTTTCTTAGAGAGAACGCGCTTTTACAGAACAAGGCAACGTCGGAAACAAGCAGCCGACAGAGAGCCTCGCTGAAACCCAAACCGCCAGCTCACTGCCAGAGCTGCCCCACTGTGTCCGACCGGCCCTCACCGGAGAGCCACAGCCAAGCGGAACCTCCAGCATTCACCCGATAAGCTTCACTCACCAGACCATGTGAGGAAATCCCGGGAGAACAGTCCTCACGTGCTGTCCAGGCCAGGAGTGCTGCGCGGAGTCCGTGCCCTCTGGCCAGTCCCTCTTCCCACTCCCCCATTCTCTCTCTCTCTCTCTCTCTCGCTCTCTCCCTCTCTGAATTCACTCTCTCTGGTAACAACTTCCCGGTTGACAGGCGTCACCATGGCAACATCGCCGGCCCCCTTCAGAAGGCGTCCTCATCCTGGCTGCCAGCTCAGTGAGCAAAACACTTTGTAGTGATAAGGTGATATTTCACAGTATGAAGTTATGGAAGACGGAACAAACAGTCTGCAGACTACACCTCCACCCCTTCCTCCTCCATAACCCTGGCCTGAAAAACAACAGGAGGATGCATTGAGAACAGCTCTTTAGAGTTGAGTAAGCTCTTAAGGAGCTGCCGACTCTCCTCGTTGCGAGACATTTCAGGTGACTCCCCCTACCTGTTGCCCCCAAGGTCCTTCAGCGGTACTTTGAAAACCTCCTCAACCCCTTCAGGTTCCCTACATCCGTTTACTAAATTTTCACCAGCTCAAAGTGCTGTAGGTGACCAGTGGAAGTACCTTGTGCACCAGTGCAAGCTGTGATCACCCCGCACCACATGTTCATTAGCGCTCTGCTAGCATTCCCTTGACAGTGATATAATTGCGCTAGCTTTCCATTAATTGCTGACCTCATTCTGTAAAAATTCTGCTATAATTCTTAACACTCCATGAGCATTTTGGCTTAGCTATGTTTTACTGTTACGGCTGTATATTACAAGGTTATACTAATTGTCGAAACTGGCAGATTATCAAAAATCAGTCCACAGACACAGGAATGCTAACACATAAGTCTGAACTTCACAGGTACAGGATAACGCAGTCAAACTTATCCCTCTTAAGGAGAACCATGGACATGCAGTGTGCTCAGATTCCACTAATACTTTAACTGCACAGGAAAAAACCCACTATACATCCATAACCAAACTGAAATAACTTTCAAACTCGCTATTCTGGTTCGCCCAAAACTCCAGCCGGCTGTGAGGAGTTCTTGCTGACTGCCGTAAGAGTTTCGGTGCAGAAGATTCCTGGTGAGGCTTTGGGTTGTTTAATTGTGAGGATGCAGACGGGACGGGACATACCCTTGTCCACCCACCTAATTCTGGATCTGCTTCCCCATTGTTCAGCAATCTGCCACATTGCATTCCTGACTCGCCAGCAGCCTGAAGCCTGCGAGCCCAGCTTCAGCTGCGGAGCCACAGCGTCAGCTCATTCCCAATAATTCTGCGGTTGCGCAGGCTGGCTGGAACAGCTCAAACCAACATGAAGTGCTCAAGTCAGGAGCTCCTGGCAGAGGATGTTTCTGGCCCAATGAGATGAGGGGCTGAACCGCGGGGCGCTGTGTGTGCTGAGAGTGGCGGCATTCCCTGCTGTGCCCACATTGAGCGACATGTCACTCGCCAGCTCACTGGAGGGGCAGATCTGATCACTGACCTGGCACCACTCAACCAGGCATCCACACAAAATATAGACTCAGACACAGACTGAGACAAAGACTAAACAATGACCTTCACCCACCGCCCCCTCTTCGACAGTCTACCCCAGGGTTCCCCATGGGTTCCCCAGTTCCGGTCCTGGAGGCCCAATCCGCGGCTCATCAGCTAATTGCCAGGTTTGATAGGTGTTTTTAGCAGGGAAATCTGCAAACTGTGTTGCAGACCGGCCCTCCAGGAATGGAACTGGGGAACTTTAATATACTGTGATTATCACCCATACCCTGTTGCCATCACGGCCTTGGACAGACTTAACCAAAGATGGGAAATGCTCCCCTAAAACATCTACTGTTCCAAGAACCTTTAAAGAAACATTTTTTAAATGTAAACAAAACCCCCCACAGACCTTAACGAATAAAACATTTAATCATTTGTTTGACATTCTTCCACAAGCCCACAGCATGTAACATTGTATCTTGGATGCCTTTATGACCAAAACGCCAAATCCGGACCCTTCAACAGTCCGTCATTTGGGGTTTGAAAAATCTCGTGAAAAACTGGAACACCAAATATACTCTGCTCCGATTTCCAACCATCAGCGATATTCACAAGGAGATGCGCTCAAATCTCCACTTGGCACGACAGTTTGCTTGATTGTATAACAGAAGGCTGTTTGATAGTTAAAGAAGATACCAATCCCTTAATCCTACTTGTGCTGGAAACATGTCAAATTCCTTTTTTTTTCTTTACATGAATGAACATGAGTAATTGTTTTTTTGTAACAGTCACAAGCTCCGCCCCCCCCATGACCTGTGAAATGTACCTCTATGAATATCTGACACACACGTCCAATGGCAGAAGCTAATGAGGCTTTGTAAAAATCCAGAACCCTTTCCTTTCCCTCTCATGCAGGTTTTACTGGTCCTTGACAAGCAGCAGAGAGGACATGGTGGGGGTGGGGGACTCAAAGGCATCCATTTCGGTGTCCATCTGAGCTTAAACCCAGGGGCAGATCTCCATTGAGGGATCACAGTGATCTCCAAGAGCAGACAAGAACCTAGACTGAGAAATACTGGCCAATTCCCAGTAAGTGCAGAAAAGGTCCGAAAGACTTGAAATGAAGTCAGAATTGGTGCCCAGAGGTATGCAACAGAAAGTCCAACCAATGAGCAGGGGTAGCAATTTCAAAAAATCCCCCAGTTCTTACACAACTTTGAGGGCTCATCTCTACAGCCAGTTAAGCGACAGACCTTCCAGTTCATAAATCCAGCAGCAGACAACTGCCAGTTTCAGCACAACAGCAAAAGAGTGATGCCATCTCAGCTCAGACACGGAATCACAGATATTAACATACTCTAGACATGGCTCTGCACTTAAATTGGTGAAAGACAGAACATGCAAGCCCGGTGCGGACGGCCCCGCCGGTGCGTGTGGCAGCGCCTCAGAGCGGCCATGTGAGGGAGCCAGCGAGGTGCAGATGGGTGAGGATCAGGTACTTACAACGCCCTGGGCGTGGAGTCACTGCGACGCGCGGAGAGGTGCAGGAGTCGCTCCAAGTGCCGCTCCCACGTCTTACATCGGAGTGAGGGCGGTGATACACACTCAGGAGCGGGCAGGGCTTCGTGTGTGTGTGTGTGTGTGTGTGCACGCGCGTGCGGGACCGCGCCGCCCGGCGGCACCCTCCCATTCCTCCGCTACAGCGGGCGGGGGCCTTGTAATAGTTTCCACCCGCAGCTGGAAATGATACAAATTCCCGTGCAGGCATAGTATAATGGCGACGCCCTTTTGTGTTTCACAAGCAGGAAAGGATGGGCCCACTCACCCCTCTCTGCATCACACATAGAACCGGCCTGTCCCATCGCTGGGCCCAGCCTCTGAGCTGACGGTGTGACTATATGAATCATATACTAAAATAGCGATGCTGTCATTTCATAACACAACAAACAACAAAAAAGATTCATTAGTGCAAAACTTGCTCTGGCTTCAGGCAGAAGAATAAATTTATCCCTTCAACTACATATATAGTTGAACTACAACTGACTGCAGTTAAGGAAGCACTGAAACACGGCGTGAGTCGGCGCTCCGGCTCAGACGGGCACGGAGACACGCACAGCTGGAAGAGATTGAGCTCCGCAGGACTCAGTGTTTCCACACCGGGCTCCAGCAGCAGCCAGGCGCCGTGGGGGGAGACGCTGTACGCTCACTGCGGAGTACGCATGTCTCTCGCGCAATAAACATTTTCCATTATTGCAAAACCATTCACGGTCTTCCTACCTTCATTGTGAATTTGTTCATTTAAATCAGTTTATGCTATGAACTGTAAAAAAAAGAAAAATTAATGTAAATATCAACCCTTATAGTATTTTAGCATGTGAGGCAACTTTACCGTGATGTACAATTTATAGTGAAGCTTTGTTCATTAAATTTGCTAAATGAACGAGTACATATTCAGTTGTAAAGTACACACATCTGGGGACAGATGTGGGGTGACAGACGTTCACACCGACAGGCACTGAGAAAGCAGGCGGGCCTGGTTACTTTCTAAACACCAAACCATATCATTGCGAGGCAGCTGTCATTCACTGTTGGCAGTTATGCAAAGCCACTTTGGCTGAGATGTTTTTGAGATGCTTCTTTAATTTTGGAGGCCGGTAATGAACAGAAGCACGCCTTACAAGGCCCATTGATGGATTTTTTCTTTCCTAATGGCATGGGCATATTCTAGGATGGTAACGGCAAGATTAATCAGGCTTGAATTGTCAAAGAGTGGTTCAGGGAGAATGAGGAATCAATGTCAAGCGTGAATTGACCACCACCAGGCGGTTCAATAATATATTAATGTGTGTGACTTTTTTTCGGCCGGGCAGAGCATCTAACATGCAGCAAAGAAGGGATACCTTCTTAATTTATTCATAATACTTCATTTGTATTTGCACAGACTTTCAATAGTAATTTCGATACTAAATGCGTGCCAGTGTTACCCACGAGACGCCAGAAGACTATGATGCGAGTTTATGCCAAACGTAACTGGATTTAAATTCCACTCCATGAAATTCAATTGAAACAGCGCCTTTCCCATCATAGCTGCCCCAAGCATTTACCTTAAACTTAGTTAAAACATAATCACAGGTTCACATAACATCACAAAGCATAAAAATTCAGAGTGGAATGTTAATTTAGGAAAGTTAAATTAATCTTGTGGTTTATATTTACACAAATTTATATATATATATACACACACGCGCGCGCGCATGCACACATATAATATATATGGTGTATATGTACCATTTATATCATTCACGTTTGTATAACTGCGTCACTAGATACACCACGTAAATAATATGGACACACTTACGGTGTTCAACTGGTGCATCATATTATGTCTAAAAGAAAATATTCAGAAAATTAATTTCAAACAACACTTACACTATGGGAACTATAAGATTCCTTACCACCAGTTAAATAATGTAAAAGAAAAACACACCAAAGCAGCAGAAATTGCGCCTTCTTCAAGCATCAAGTTATTTTGAAATGAACTTTATACTGCGATGGTGCTGCCGCCTAGTGTTGGTTTGTGGATTTACAGTTAATCATTTTCCAGATTAACGGAGTATTGGCTTTCATATTAGACAATCGCATTTCTTGTGCTCCCAGGCTGAAAAATTAAACAATTTTCAAGCCTTCCCGATAGCTTCCAGCCAATGCCATTTCTTTTTAGACACATACGTTACTGCCGCCGCCCTATATCCTATTGAGTTTTAAGACAAATGTATTTCTCATTTCAACTTGGAGATTGTGTTGTAATCGTTCGCTAGGTTTGACGTCGTCTTCGTAATTTCCCTGTAGGCAAGACCATCGCATTAAAATCACTCTTAAAATGGGTACGATAATAAGACAAAAATGAACCATTTATTTTCCCCTCAGACAACAGAAACACGTGTATTGAACATATTTAAAATTAGTTTGACTCCTTTATAGACATAGGCTTGCTAATTTAATAATTTAAGTCCTCTCTATTTATCTCAAGGCTGCCTCTGGTCTTTTTGATGCAACTTAATTAAATCAGGACCCAAGGCCATGTAATAGGCTTTTTTGTTTTTATCGAATAGTGTAATTAAGGCCAAAGCATCATTTAACCATGGTTAGGCTAATACACAACACAAATATGAGCTACGCTTTTCAGAGCACCGTATTTTACTCTCTTCTTCTGCATGGTTCTGAGGGGGCGTAGACCGTCCCTGATACGATTTTTATAGACAGCTTTTTAACATGACACGGGGGCGTTATAAAACACGGACGGTCCTTCACTGGGGCGGTATCTCCGCACCCCCAGGACCCGGGGTTGACATTGTGTATTTCCCCCGTCCTTCCCGGTTCCTCAGGGTTCTGCGTTTTCCTCCTGCGTCTCGGAATTCCCCGTAATGTCTGATTCATTTGTGAGTTTGCGCTTCATGCATCACCAGCACCGAAACTCTTAACAGAAAATGAGTATGTCCCCATACGGATTGCACAATGCTCCTCATTCTGAATCATTTTGATTACTAGACTATTCTGTTACTAGTACTAATACTAACTAATTTGACTATACATTTCAACTTGTGTCCTGTAGCATTTCTAGACATCCATAGGAATGGTTGTTGACTCTGACAGGAAATGGATCAAGATTGATAAGTTTCAGAATCTTACAATCCTACAAGGACAATATGCAGTTTGTGTGGACGCTTTATTGCACGCAATGAAAGTTACCCGTTGAAAAAATATTATGCACAGTTGCTCTTATTGATCCAAGTGACATAATTAACCATTTTTCATATATTCAAAAATACATTTCATTACAATTATATAAATTATACAATATGTACAATTATGTACAATATAAATGCATTCCATTTGCTTTTTCACAGTCAATTTAAGTTTTCTTAATTCCACGATTCAAATGAAAATACAATTTTAGTTGCATTAATAACAAAATGATAGCTACCGATTGCAATTTTTCACTTATTAACTGCAGTTCAAGCTTTACAAAGTTATATGTATATTTCATCTGTATCCTCTGACTCACATCATGTGTTCCAGGCTGCCTGTGATCTTGAACTGCATGAACAGTCGCAGAACATTTATGGATGGATGTACATTATGTAAATCTTCTGTCATTAAAACAGCTCTAAAATTGTATTGTCCTCACTTAATAAAAGATGGAGATTGTGGAGAGTCCTGGTTTGTATGAAACTAGCTGCTAAGGGTCGATGCGAGGGCCCTGGAGATAAAGCTAAAATATCAGGCGCTGGAGGTAGAAGAGTTTGACAATATGTAACTGGGTCAGTGCTGCAATCAAACTGATAGACTGCTATTCAATTCATTATTAAACACAGATGGTAAAGTGAGAGTATATCTGATCCTGCCTTCTCAGTCAGCATATTGGTTTAGTTAGTAGTCACGAGGTTCATCCATAAAACCAAAGTGCTTACTTGTCTCCATTCTTTGTTAGGCAAATCTGTAAATGATAAACCGTAATGGGAGATTACATTCAATGGCTCAGCTGGCATTCTCCCAACACACTGATTGGGAACATCCCTTCTGTATTCCAAGTCCTCCTCGTGGAGCGAGGTGTTAGCTGGGAGCCAGGCTGACATCTAGAAGGTCCGTGAATGGCTCCCGGCACAGAGGACACTCCCTAAAGATGGCAAAAACCCTGTCCGCACACTGGAGACAGAGGCACTGGTGTCCGCAGCGAAGAATGACCGTGGACTTCTGGCAGAGACAGACAACGCAGTTTTCGGAACCTCCTGAGGGACGAAAAAGAGAAATCTCAAGTCAGACATCAGGCGCACATTTTCTGCATTATTGTGAAAGTAAAGCAGGGCCAGTTCATTCTACAACTTGGCAAACATGTCCCAGCATGAAGATCTCAGCTAAATCTGCCAAGGTTTTGCAGTCATGCATCCTGCGTCTATGTACATAACCAAAGGGATGCTCGCAAAAATGCAAACATACACTAAAGAGAGTGCTCTCACAGAATAATGGTGTACACACTCTTTGTCTGTCATGTTTAGCCTATATTTACCAGTAACGTGGAGTAACAGATTGGAATTTTGAAAAAAACAAAAAGCATTTCTCAGGGAATTTTCTCCCATGAAATAATGTTTTGTGGTCGTGACTGGAAGTGTTCCTCAGCAGAATAGTCACATCTCCATTGGGCCCCTGGCCAAGGCCCTTAGGCTCCTGAAATGCTGCAGGGGTGCCAAATAAATGGCCAGACCCTGCATTTAGATCACAAGATTTGCCCTCAACTGTTTACATACTTGTGTGTGATGGGACATGCGAGAACAGAAGCATCACTTATCATTTTTAGAGAAAGATTAAATTTGAAGACAGTCAGAGGTCCTGTAACTTGTCGGGATAAAGGTTACACCGGCAGAGAAATTGTTCAAGTACTTATACACACAATTCCACTATGTCTCCCAACACAGATTCTTCTGAAACGTAATGGAATTTCAAATATGGTACTATGTACATATTTATTTTGTCTCTGAACAAAAATATGCAAACGTTACATTGCATCTATTGCTATCAGATGAAAGATTTACTTTGAACTGCAACAACTCTGGATGGGAATTAATTTTAAAGAACAGTGTGACTTCAGATTATGTTTATTTTAAAAAAAATGTTCTATCCTTGTCTCTCTATTCAGTCAGTAGCAGTTTTTCCCATATCTGTGCTGTGAACATTTCAGAATCTGTTTCTCACTTTTCAGTTGTACTAGAAACTAGAAATTTTGAAAACCAAATAATAATAATAATAATATATCTGTAGGGTTCATGACAGCAATAGAGGGAATAGGTGTTTGATACCAAAATTTTCTAAAATAATTGTCATATTTTGGCTGCTTATTATTTGTACACAGTAAAGCCAGCAATGTCAGTAAACATTATCTATACGCACATACTCTATATCCCAAAAGATCTAATAGTGTTTCACATAATATTCACTATACCTTAAATATGTAGCACTATATTTTACATGTTCTACAGAACACCACATTCAAACATTCCAAGATTATGAATTTTAAGATAAAACCTTTGCAGTCATTCTGCAGAACCAAATCTGCAATTCGCAACCTTCATCAAAATCAGCTGATAAGCTGCCCCTTGGTGGTTTCATTTCGACAAACACACACACACACACACACACACAATAGTACAATGGATACAAAGAACACAATGAGGCCTGATAATAAAAATTCTATCCTTGAGGCTAACCTGTGATATGCCCATTGTCAGAGATGGGGTACCAGGGGTCCGTAGGTGGCCATAGAGACTCCAGGTTCAAAGTCGTATAAGAAGGAAAGATGTTGCCATTGATGTCAGATGTCATTCTGTCCCTTGAGGAGATTGGAGGTGGCACTGGGACGGGACAAGACGTTTGGACAGAAAACAAATTCTTTTTCTTGGAACCTAAAATAATAATTAAAAGTCATGTTTTAATCTACTCATTTCCTGTACGTGCCTCTTTTCTATTCTTCCTGTATTTGTGCTGTCTAATATTGTTATATATTACTGACTGGGTGGTGTAAGAATTCCTATGTACTGATGTACACAAGTCAAATGAATCTTCAGCACGGAAGGTTCACAGAAGCGTGCCTCAGGTGAGTATAAATGTGTGTGTCATTTGTTCGTGGATACATACCCAACAGGAGAACTGCGGAAGTCTGGCCATACACGTCGATCATGGCCCACAGTGGCTGTCTCACATCCACACCTTTCAGCAAGATCTTCTCTGTCCCTAGTACCTTCAGCTTTAGCTCTCCGTGTGGCGTGACCCAGAACTGCAGTTCGGATCCAGGATGGGAGCATACCTCGGGTACGATACCGGCCCAGTACCCGGGCGTATCGGTGAGGTGGGGGATGGCGAAGGAGGGCAGGGTCCGGTACGTCGGCCGAACGGCAGTGAAACCCAGGCGCAGTGCGCCGTGCCATTGCGGGGCGGAGCGCTCCACACGCAGGCGTACCCGCTCCTGCACCCTCACGGGCCGACTGCTGAAGACCAACCCATCCCGGAAGGTGTTTCCAACCCGCTCTGCCCGCCGGGCGTCCAAGCTCAGGGTCACCCTGGCCCCCGTGGCCCCCGTGTAGAACGAGAGAGGCCCCAGGCAGCGCCCGCTACAGCAATGCGATGAATCTGTAAGATATACAGCGAAAGATCAACGCTCCGATCTCCATGCCGTCGCCGCGCTGCATTTCCTTGAAATTCGCCAAGCCAGAGATCAAACGAACTGCGATAGTAAATGTAAAAATAACTGCAGCCAAAGTGAAAGCAAAACATATAACCTGTTTAGCGCAAGATGTTGCACATTCTAATAAATAAAAATAGTTCTTATTTAGGCCTATATTAAGCATCGATGTATCGTTACATTTATTTTAAGTTACCTAACTTAAAAATGTTTAAAAAAAAATGGCTAGGAGATCGGGGGAAGTGTAGCGGGAAATGTTCTTACCGCGTCTTGTGCGGATATGGTGCCGATCTGGCATCTTGAATTTGCGACGTCTTGCTGAAGAAAACAGGTGTGTTTTCGCAATGGTTAGAGGCGCACAAATGATCCCATAAGATACTCCGCAGGCGCATAAATTTACAGCCCATGTGCTCACGTTTGTATACAAAGGATGTGTGAGCGCGGTGATGAACTACCCTCCGTTTGGGAGGAGCGTGCAGAGACTCACTGCAAGCTGGAAAATTTCCACAATTCCCGTGTGTGTTGCTCGTGTGCTCTTTGAAAATGTATCCAGATTTCTTTGCAACACAATATCTATGTTATTATATAACGTTTAGAATACATTCCCATTATATCTGATATTCCCTTTTGGTCCTTATGAAAAAGTTTTCCTTGGCTGTTAGGTCTGTCCTTAAATAGGCTGTGGCAGGTTTTACAGTCGGGCGTTAATGATCTGAAGACTTGCATTTGACACCGTGTTGTATCGCCTTTCCAGGAAAAGAACCTGCGAATGATATTAACTGTAAATGATGAGCCCTGGCATCAAAGTGAAAAAGGAGACGCCGATATCTCTCCATGGTGATGGAGAACCCTACCACAACGACATTTTGGGGGCCTTGAAGACCAGCAGTTTCTTGTAATGCAGTCATTAATATTTAATTAGGCTACCCGATTACTGGTGTCTAATTTAAGAATTAGTGCAAATTAATTTTTTTTTAGCCAGCCCTGTTCTCAATAATAGCATAAGCATTTAAATCAGCAGGTTAAAACCTGTGGTTTTAACGTTAGAATCAATTCTCAAAAATGAATCATTCAGATTGAAAGACTGCTAACGTTTCACTTATTCACTGGAGGCTCAGCCCAGTCGCACTAACGCCTATTGACTCCTCACCGGATTGTATGTCATGTGCCATTTACCTCACACGCATTAAACACAACCGTCCGTTAAATGCGAATGTTTCAGTACCGATTCGCACGTCGTTACTTTTAACTAGCATATATGGAAACACGGGAAAAACGCAAAAGCACATTTTCTCTCAAGACTGTAATGGCATTAAAATACTGATATATCAAATATCACCGGTATCACAGACGAAATTGCACATGTCATCAAACTATAACTTAATTACCGTGGTTTTAGGCTACTTTTTCTTTCTCTTTAAGCCGCTAACTATAAAATAGCTTATATATAGCCGTACAATAACCATAAAATTGTGAGCGATTTGGCTTATTGCTCTTTAATTCATGTTATAGTGCATTGCAGAATGATTAAAATACATTTAATCTTGTCCCTTTAGTATTATTTTACCTTATGGGATCATTGCACTACAAAGTAATTGAAAGCGATATATACAGACTTAAAAATATATTGCTGTGAAATGTCGTGACAGGAAAGCATGGACCATAGGAACGGACCGTAACACAGGGGAAACCCCCCACACGCACGTGATAGTCACAAGACCACATTTGATCCTTGCCCTTTAACTATGCAACCCAATTTCCTTTACTGGAAATTTCCACCTTTTACAGTATCCTGCATGGTCTAGCCTGGTCTGCGGTACATGCAATGCAGGTCCATACGAGCGGCGCTCACCCTGCCTCGTTACTTTTGATTGTTTTTATTTATTAAGTTAAATGTGTTTCTGTTGTTTATAATACCCACGGAAATGCAAAGATTTTCAAAATACACGCAATTATATTTTTTATTATCCCTGCTAGTGAAAAAAACACACAGTTCAGTACAAAAGTTATTAGCGAGCGTGGAACAAATATACACCCGTATGGTTCCGTAGACTAAGGAATTTGGTGAGATTTCTAATGGGGAAAATGAAAACTCCGTGTTTCCAGTGGGTGTCACGGTAGTGTCCTTAAGTTATCTGGAGTCTTAGAAAAGAAATACAACAATCTTTGAGCAAATAACTGAATAAAGACCGTTTTGGTAAATCAAATTGTTGAAACAAAAAGTCCACCCACAGTTTTCATTAAATAGGCACAACTGTGATAAACTGATCAACTGTATTGTATCGTATTGCCTTTTAACACGTAAGATAATAATCCTGTTAACCGCCTTCCAAATCTGATAGTCTGGCGCTTTGGTTAGTGCTATAAAAACTCGATTTGCATATAAATCGCGTCTTTCTCAAAATACATATTATTGTAATTAAGCTGATTTCATAATCTTTAAAACCATAGTCGGTTGTATATGTCTTCTACCTGGCAGTGAACTCGGTATCAGTTAATATCCGCGGCAGGGCAGACATGTTCTTCTGGCGGGCTTTAATTACCAATAGGGCGGAGAGCTAACGAAAGGTGAATCCTGTGTGTTGTAATAATTTAGCCTATATGATTGATTCGTTTTAGATTCTACATGACAAAAAGTGTACGTGCCATTTGCCATTGTTAACGAGAGGCAGGTCTCTAGGTTACAAGCGAACCTAAAGATACTTACAGGAAGGACAGATAAGATCGAAGGTGTAGAGCTGTTTGCCAGTTTCATTTTGCTCTGAGTACAATTTAGAGGCTCGTCTCCTTCACTGAGGTCCACTTTTTTTACCCAAATTCAGCAGAATGAGGGCAGCCTGTAAATCTGTTAGTAGGCGTAATAATGAATATAAAATCAAAATTCTGATCACACAGAGGAATACCTTAATCATAGGTGATAGACAGAATTTTGCCATCTAAATTTGCTTCATGACGTTACTGTGTTCAAAGAGTGCGTCGCTTGAGTGTCGCAGGAAGCCGTTATTTGTAAAATACGGTAAAATTGACATTAACTACAGTTACATATCAACAGAGTCAATGTGAGTGTAGACTAAAGGATTTGCTTACAGATAGAGAAATGATGCAGACAAGCATGACAATCTCCAGTTTCATCCTGACACTTACTGGGACGTGTTTGGAATGGCGTCAAATCACCCTGCAAGGTGACACGCGTTTGAGTTTAATGAGTACAGTGAGTACAGTAACACCATTCTACTTAGGGTTGTATGATTTGTATGATTTGAGAGGCCTGCTGAGGAACTGTGGGCATTCCTGACCCCCGAAACAGGCCTCACTGCTCTGCATGTCCCCCTTGCCATGTGCCTGCATCTTTGGCTTTCACAACAGCAGGCCATCAAAAAGCAACTTATTCCCACCCTACCTTTTTAAAAAGCGATTAATTTGCTGACGTCCAGTCAGAGGCCGGTGCCCTAGCGAGTGGCCAATGAGAGAGGAGCTGTGTGCTTAGACCCCAGCCAATCCCGCTCTGCATTATAATGTGGCCTGTCTTTATCAAGAATGTGTCACCCGTCTTTAAGGTACTTCTTATTTATTGGGTGACCAGAACATTTCTGTGTAAAACCGAGTTCACTTCGAGGAGGAAGGTGAATGTAGATTTTTCCGTCGACCTCGACGTTTGTTTTGGAATAACTGTGCGATGTTACAAAATAGGTAAAAGGCCATGGAGTGGCTTCGATAGGGGAGCGAACACCTTTCCCAAGGAAGGGAGCGGCAGAACGTCACCCAGCGGCAGGGGGGCTGGGAGCTGACCAGCAGTACCACTGAGGGCAGCCTGAGACTCGTCGCAAGAGCATCAGGGAAACACACCCCTCCCCCACCCATCTCCTCCACCTTGTCTGACGGTGCAGCTCCTTTCATGCTGGGTGGAGATTGAGTGACTGTGTGACGGAACCAACCTGGAGGACGAAGCTTTTCCTATGGATCCCAACCTTCCGGGGTCCTTCCTCTTCAACAACGGCCTGAACCAGTACCCTTCGGACATGAAGGCGCCCGTGTGCCAGTACTCGGTGCAGAACTCCTTCTACAAGCTGGGCCCGGGCCTCAACAGCCAGCTGGCCTCCGGCACGCCGCACGGCATCAGCGACATCCTCAGCCGCTCCGTCATCGGCTCCCCCAGCTCGGCGCTGCTCTCCGGCTACTCCGCCGTCGGCAGTTTCGGCACCGTCCCTGCCCCCGGCGTCTACTACAACCGGGACTATGGTGCCTCGCTGGGCAGCTTCACCAAGCCCGGTCCGGAGTGCGCGGTGAAAGGGCGGAGTGGCGGAGGCGGCGGGGGATGGGGTGACCCCGGGTACGAGTGGAGAGGAGGAAGGCAGCAGTGCGGCACCAGTGAGTTTGCCTATAGCACCACGCCACTAGGGGGGGCACATCCTTTACTGGCACTACCGAGCCTTAAAAGGGACAGATCCCTTCAGTCACCTCAGGTTTTACACAAACATCTTTAATGAGGAACCGATATCAACAGCCAGACTAATGTGCTGCGCTGACTCCAGCACCCACAAGCTGTCACAGCTGATTTGCGGTCCTGTTTGATAGAATGCTTTTCAGGAATTCCCTATTGCAAATTTCTAGCAAAATCCGGTTCCTTTCCTGCTATGGATTGTGAAAAGTCTGCTTTCGGGCTCTTGTTATAAAACTGAACGTTTTTTTTGAGAGTTTTTAAATAAACGGAGTAATACATCAACATTAGGAATCACAAAAGCATGTCACATCCAGTTATGTCATCCGAGGCAAAAAAGTACGTCTGTGTCTTATTTGATTTAATACTCACTTATTTTGCAGTGACATCTAGACAGCTGGTAAGGATTATGTGCCTTCCTAGCCCTGTAAATAAGTTCTGTTGTGAAAGTGAAATATTTTTGCGCTTTTTTCATCTATCGAGCCAATAACCTTCATTTTATGGACTTGGGTTGTTAATAAGCATATAAATATATAGTTTATAAGTATGTAAAGTGATCAATTCCGACATATCTATTATCTGACCATGTCAGACCATACTGCACATAAACTAATCTGGATTTTTATTGTACTGATGTAAATGCATTTGTGTTCAGCTACTAATTTAGGCCAGTAAATCACAGAATATAAATTTCTCTTAAAGGAAACGGCATTTAATTCAAAGTAAATTAAGGTTACACCGCCTTTGATGCCGAGGATTGGTTCTTAAGGAGTCAGAGGATGGAGACGTGAGTTTAAAACCAATGAAAAGTGTGGAAAAATTGATGTGTAATCAACCTCCATCCTGCTGGAGAGCTGAAGATGGTTGCATGGGGTTGAACCAGTATAAATGAGGGTCTTTGTGCCATACAGATGTGCGTTCAATTTGTGCAGGCAGTGGTCAGCTTGGCGACGGCACCAGCAGGAAGAAACACACGAGGCCCACCTTCAGCGGGCACCAGATCTTTGCCCTGGAGAAAACGTTCGAGCAGACCAAGTATCTAGCAGGACCAGAGAGGGCAAGGTTGGCGTACTCTCTAGGAATGACAGAGTCTCAGGTGAAGGTACGGCTGCTCGCGGCTGGGAAAACACACTCACAGTCCCATTTCTGTGATATCTGCATACAGCTCACCCCAAGCCTACTGCCTCCATTCTCAAAAAAGACATAAAATCTGCCCCCCCCCTCAGGTGTGGTTCCAGAACCGACGGACCAAGTGGCGGAAGAAGAGTGCGTCAGAGCCCACCTCCACGCAGGTGGCACGGGGGGAACAGGGAGGCGAAGCCTCGGAGAACGAGGTGGAGGACGAGGAATACAACAAGCCTCTGGATCCGGACTCAGACGACGAGAAGATCAGGCTGTTACTGCGCAAACACCGCAGAGCGTTCTCAGTGCTTCGCCTTGGGCCACACCAGGTCTGACATGCATGCGCACACGCACACTAGCTTCAGAGAACATCACATATGCGCACGACTGCGGTGAACAGTCTGCAGACACAATGCCACGTTCACACTGCAACGTAGAGTTACGACCTTGCAGCAGTGATCACTGGCACACAGAAACCCCGTTCTCCAGCAGGGTAACCTGATGAGGAGATTAGGAGCTACTGGTTATCCACAGAACATTTCACTCTGTGCTGTGAGACTGAGCCAGAGAGACACTGGATGACTTGAAAACGTCAGATTCGCAAACAATGATATCATCAGAAAACGGAGGAAACCTGTTTCCCATTCCTACACTTCAGGAACTTACAGTAACTATGTAAAGCTCTGCATCATTTCTTTGAAACGATATGGCCCAATAATGGTTAAAGAATGAGATAACTGATTATCGCTACAAACATAAATGACTCCAACAGTGCCATTTGAGTCCTCCATAAAACAGCCTGTGCATATTCGCTGTAATTTGCTAAATCCATTATAATATAGATGTAAAGATGATGCCGTTTAAGACGTCTGTCATTGCCTGTTACCTGATTTCCCTGAATGTAAATATAACAACTGTGGTATAAACAGCATAATGTATTACAGTTTCAGTGGCTGAAACTTCAGAGCATTTTCACTGGGATTTAGGTTGAATTTGCCTGGTAACATGATCTTATGGTTCACGCTTTTAAAGAACAATTATGGCACAACATCCCATCTCTATGTTTCAGCTACTTACAAGTTATATAAATTAATTGAGAACTTGTACAAAATAAAATGCTCATTTGTTAAAAGTAGAGATTCTGTGTCCGATCTTTTCATTAACTCAAAAAGTCTCGACCAAAATACTATTAATGTAACAAGGGAAAGTGCCACTTTACAAAGATACTTATATAAAGAGCTTATGCATGGGTTATAATCTGGTTATCAATTAGGTTGTAACACTTTGTAAATTATTAATACACCATTTTAAACAAGTTATAACACTGTTTTCTTTTTATCAATGAGTTACTACCATTTACAAGTGGCAAGAGGGAGTCTTATTGTAAAGTGATACCCAAGGGAACAATATCAGGATTTGACAAGATGAGAGCAGAAAGAAAAATAGCAGAAATGTTGATTATTTTGATATTGTTAGTTGACATTGTTAGTTTAAGGTTATGTACAAATTGTCCATGAGTAACAGCTAATCTGATAAACATCAAAGTCGATGTTCTAGGCTGAGGGCAGTCAAGAACAGTCATACAAGAAGAAAAGGTTAAAGGACAAATTAATTAACAATGAAGAATGTTGGTAGCTGAGGCATGATCAGCCTTCAGCTACAATGGATGGTATCTCTATTAGGCAAGTGAAACTGGACAGACTTGCTGGAGTAAATTGTTTAGATGTGATAATAAATGAAACTTCTGGAACTTTTAGAATGTTCTCCCCATTTGCTAAACCACACTGCAACTACAGCAGTCTGGACACAGTGAAATGTAACTCTGCCTTCAGAGCTTACAGAATGTTCTCAACAGTCATTGAACCACGTTGTAACTATGCCAGCCTGGGCATGATGAAATGTAACTCAGCCTCCTGAGCTTCCAGAAAGTTCTCCACACTCTGCAAACCGCACTGCAATTACGCCGGCCTGGGCATGATGAAATGTAACTCATCCATCTGAAGTTCCAGAACCTTCTACCCATTCTGCAGACATTTCTTAATGAACAGATGCTGTAAATCTTAAGTATTACAAAGTTTATATTTAAACTGGAATTAGAGAATATGTATCAGTACTGTTTTCAGAGAGTTGCACAAATGAATGTCTGAACTAGATGGATGAGATGGACTAATGGATGTAATTGGCAGCAGACTTTTGCAAACAGGAGCGCCAGTACAACCAGGATGCGAACTGTACTATATGTAAGCAGAGGCAATGCTGAATGTGCATGTCTTGTGGTGGTACAACAGAGCAGTGAGCATTTATTATAGCAACCAGTCAAATGTCACTGCAAACTATGCGACCAGGCTGGTCTGTCGAGTCCTGCTAGGGTTAGGGTTAGGTTTAGGGTTAGGGTTAGCCTTTGATGTACCAAACAATGGTACATTGTACTTTATCTTCTTCCTATTTAAGAAAATGGGCAGGTATAACCAACCAGTGTCCGCGGGGGGTCCTGGAACCAAAATAGCAAGTCCGTTATATAAAGTGGTGTGGGATTTGCATATAACCTACGCACATCCCAGTACCAGTCCACGCTGTGAAGCCCTAGATGAGCATCACCGCCGGTGCCCCCGTCTGATTGGCCGGCAAGCTGGCAGCCGTCTTTGCTGCCTATAGGCTGGCCCAGGCACATCCTCCTGCGTACTTTTAATCATCTCTAGATTACTTTTAATATGTAAGACATACAAATAATGAGGGAAGATACAGAAGTCAAATAAGTGGCATGATAATGTAAAATAAAACCTACTCTAAGAACTCGGCACAATAAAGCAGTGTGAGCAAACGAGAATGAAGCGGGTTTCTGGCATTCAGCCTCAAAAATACGGCAAACCGAAATGCTGGGGGGGGGGGATGAATGAAGCCACGTTACTTTTCAGATGCTCCCAAATCTGCCAAGACAACCCAAATTATACTTTCAATGTAGAGCTCGGAGCGCGGCAAAATCGAGTTTTGCTTTTTGGAACTTTCTGAATGCTTACCCCCCCCCAAATATTTTCGATCTGTGGTTGGTGGAATCTGCTGATGCGGAACCTGCGGATACAAAGGACAAAGGACTGACTGCATCCTGAACATCATGTAATAACTATGGGACGTGGGTCAGATTATTATAATTTGTTCATTTTCATTTTGGAAGATCTAGGTCACCTAGATCTAGAGGGACAGCATCAAGGGTGTAGATTAGGGTATGGACATGACCCTATCAATATTGTGGGAGTGCCCTTTGTGTTTTGGGGTGGGGGGATTCGGGGCTGATGTGGTCCCTACCAACGGTCAAACCAAACCTGTGTCCTTGGACAAGGCTTCCTCCAGAGAGCTGCAGTCAGGTTTTGGGCACCGCAGATAAATTTGAAGCTGTTCTATCAGGCCAGCATTTATCTCCTCGGACAGCGGCCAGGATCAGATTCTGAGACACCTAATTCTGTCCAGCTTTTTCTTCTTCCATATCGATCCTCACACGTCTCGCAGCTCCCACGGTCCAGAACACCGGTTCCATTTCACCTTCGCGAAAGCATGTTTAATATCTCATCCGTTTGCGCCTTAGAGCCCATCGACCGGTGGTCATGCCGTGAGACGTGAACCACATTAGTTAGAAAGTTAGTCGAAAACTCTCGGCTGTGCAAAAAAGTGTCTACCCACAGGTTTGGGGCGAAGAGCTGCGAATGAGTTTTGGTGTCTGGGAAGCACCTGGGAAGGAAGCGCAGTCTGGGTTTAGCGTTTGGTGCCACAGAACAGATCATAGCTAGCAGACAAGTAATGTTCTACAAGCGGTCACATGTAGCCCTGAACCCCAAGGAACAGGAAGGCAGAGACCCGAACTGTCGCATCTGAGCGAACCTCAGTGTGTTTGCAACCTGATCTGCTTCATCACAAAACATGCTGCTCCGACATTGTGTGGGATACTAACTCAGCCACCGGGATGCTGACAGACAGAGAGAACATTTGAAAACACAAACAAGCTCAGAATGAGGACATAGTAAGACACGGCACTCGTGCATTTCACAAACAGCAGTTTATGACAGTTCAAACGTTTAAGTTATTACATAAATGTAGTGTTTATTTTTTAAACAAATGTACAGCTACAGCAGTACTTCTTGCTTAATAATATCACACTTCTAATGGTGAACTCTACAGCATTTCCCAGGGGGTATACATATAAAATATACAGATAAACACAATTGCAAACACGCATTTGACAAATGGCTACTAGCCTGCATATACTAACAACACACATTATCGATTGTCAACACATTTCATATTCCTTATTACATGCTGTGTAATAGATGTATATTTTAGCTGTACTAAGTCATCGGTTTCTTGTCCTATCAGTCTCTTATTCCAAATACCAGCAGCACTTAATTCATATCCAACTGATTAACGCATCAAGCAAAAAACATCAACTGCACCTTCCACTCATTAAAACCCAACGGTAGGTGGAGGAAATCGGGCCCGAGAATGAATGTTTACCATCTCTTAGCACTTAATGTAGGAAAAAAAAAATTTACAAAGAGGTTTTACAGGTTTCACTGAGCTTTGCTTCATATTAATTCTAAGATGAGTCATGATCTCTGAAGGATCACACCATTAGTGCGTACAGGTGAGTTGTTAAAAATTTTTTAAAATCGTAGAACATAAGGAATGGTAAAATTCATTGTCAATAAAATATCATAAATCTTGGTTATACCAGTGACTTGATAAAATGCATTTGTATGTGTGTGTACCTGTGCTTTCGTGTGTATAGATTTTTTTATTTATTTTTTTTATCTAAGCCACCTTAAATATTTATAGTCTACATTTAGGTGTGGGAAATGTTAAACATACATTTCTGGCTTGGCAGGGAAATGCTTTGCAAACCACACCCATGAAGAAAATGCACGTTCTTCACACCAGAAACGAGGCAGTGAATTCAGCAAAATGGTATCGGCAAACAGGAGCGAAGACAGCCAGAGTAAAAGCTACCTGCAGGCTCCAGAGAACCAGAGAACTAGAGAACCAGAGAACCAGGCCCGTCACCCTGTCAAGAAAGGGAAGCATCTACCAAATGAAATCAGAAAATGACTGAAGCTCTTTAAGGTCTGCAAGGAGGAGCTTCTTAATAAATGGCCGTGTCCTCCTGTAGCACGGCGGTCATCGCTCGTTCAGATAGTGCAAGACGAGAGCTTATGGAACGAAGCACTTTATGGTAGTAAGACTGAATAAGAGCAGAGGGGTAGGTGACTGAGCCGGAGCAAGGAGAGAAGAGTGTAAGCATGCAGGGGCCACTGCTGTAGGGCCGAATCACTGGCTCCAAAGCCAGAGACGGAAGGTGCTCCTTTACAGTCGGGCCAGGATTTCAATATTCAAGGCAAAGGCGATGGAGTTGTAAATGTGTCCCCAGTCGTTTCTAACATCCCGTATCGATTCAGGCGGCAAAGAGACACCTTCACCATGACAGAGACAACTGGTCCCATCAGGTTACGGCTTAGACAGAGGGGGTGGGGGTGAATGTTCTTGAAGTTAAGCATATTGATGAAGATGAAGTACACCCCCCCCCCCCCACAGTGATGATACACATGCAGTTAACACAGGAATAATGCGCAGTGAGCAGTGAGCGTACAGAAAGGGCTCGCAGTTTAAGGTCACAGGCGAGACGATGGGGAATACGGAGTTAAGGGCCAGCGATCCCACCGCGGCGAATCCTCAGAGAGGGAGGGATCAGAGTACAGGTGGGGGGGCCATAGGAACATCGCTACTGTTTCACACACGATGCCCTTTGCACATTATATGCTGTAAAAAAATTAATACAATAAAAGTTGAGTTTTTTTGATGTGTGCTCTTTCACTTTTTTTTCGTTGGCTATTAGATCGTCGGGCTCCATCACCGCATCTCAGAAACAGCAAGACACGGCAGCAGGTGGCAGAACGGTCAAGGAACCCGTGTTACCAGAACGTTCCCGGCGCTCTGAGGGATGCACCTGCCCAGGAACACACCCCGCTGATGAGAGCTGCATAAATGACGGAAGTGAAGCTGGAGTGGGAATCAGAGAGTCCCGGGTGTGGAGAGGGTCACGACTCAGTGTGGGCGGGGGGGGGGGGCGGAGTCACAGTACCAGTGCAGCAGGTGTCCGTGCTGAGCAAGAATGACATGCCGGCGCTGCAGCTGTGAGAGGTGTCAGCTGGGACAGGGGGGACGTGGACATAGCCAGTGTAATGCTTGTGCTACACAGTGCAAATGGTCTGGTCATACATGCCCTGGTGGTGGGCAGAGGGGGTCCCGGGGGGCTGGCAAGTTGACCTCCAGGATGTAGCCCAGGTCAGGCTGACCGATCCCCGTCACCTGGACAGCACACGGGATGAAACTGCTGTCAGCTAAAGCTAAAACTACACGCCTATGCTCCGACAATCACATTCTGATTATTTTGGGCTGCGACGCTACAAGCAGCAATCCAGGACAGGCCGATCCCGTTAAATTAAAAGCTAATTGACAGAAGCAGGACCCTCCCGTGCACGACGGACGCCTTTTAATCATTGTCGGCTTCGGGGGAGAGATTGCTCTTAATAAAGGAGTGTAGCACGCAATGGAAAGACCATAAATGGTGCCGAAACAGAATCCCGGCAGTGAAAATGCCGATACGCGGCACCACGCCATAAATTTCCGCTAGGCCGCCAGTGAAGCACCGGGTAATTAATGAAGCGGGGGCCGAGAGCACCGCGCCGGGGGCAGGGAGAGCGGCGGCCGCAGGACGTTCAATATGCATCCATCAGCGACCTCACACCGGGCCGCAACACCCCCCCCCCCCCCGCGGCGAACAGTAAACACTGCTGGGACACCCTCTCAAGGTTATCAGCGGAGTTTAAAAGAGTGAAATGGGGAATTCTATAAATATATGTAAGGTATGTTTGCAGAGGAGCGTTAGAAGTTAGAAGTCAGACCTTGACTAGCCTCAGAACCTCAGGAGACCAGGAGAGAAACTGAAGGATTCCTGCAGACCTCCTGCCAAACTGTGGCCAGCATTTCCATGCACTCATTTCCCAGTGTTATGCAGCGTAACATATTCATTGTCCAATGTGCAGGGCTTCTTAGAAAATATAGGTACCTTCTTCCATCTGCTTCTTGTCCCATTCAATTGTTAACATAATGTAAATTGTTTTTAGCTCTATAACGTCTGTCCTGTCATGGATGTTGCACCCTTGGTTCAGGAGGAATGTGATTTTGTCTTGCTCTCTATCGTACATGGCTGAGATGACAATAAAGCTTTGAATGACTTTGCCTGTGACCTAAACAGACCGTTTCTGACCCCTGGGGGTGGGGTGACTGTGTGCCAGGGGGGGGAGCAAACGCTGTGACAGTCATGGAAGCGACGGGGAGAAGGTGATCCTCCCACCTGCAGGGGGGCCGCCGGCCAGTCTTCAGTGTCTGCTGGTCTTCAGTGTGAAGAACAAGAAAACGGGCTGGAGAGGAGTAGAGAACAGATGTCAGAGCCTCAATGCCGCACGGAGCCGGACAGCAGGGTCCAAGGAAAACGCCAGGCCACTCACCTTGTGATCCCCCATGCAGACCGTGGGCCCGAGAGTGTTGTAGACGATGCCCATCTCACTGCCGTCCTCCTGCAAGGACACGCACACACTCCCATTACCGATATGCAGGTCGTGGAACATATGGCTGAACTTTAGGCCCCGTGGGGGGGGGAGAGAAATACCATACGTCCTCTAACAAAGGATGGAGTTTAGGGAAGCAGATTGGAAAAAGAAAAAAAGAAAGATAGATAGCAGGCAGGCCATAAATAACTAGATGACACGTGTCGCCCTGAGTGAGTGACAGGTCTCATATGGGACAAAGGGCTGCAGTAATGGCCCTCGTTCCGGGTCACGGCCACTCACCCTGTGCATGATGTCGCGGGCCGTGTGGGACATGAGGATCCGGTCACACCAGGAGGGACATCGCGTGTTCATGTACTGCGTGGGCTTAGTGTAGTCCTCACTGTAGGGGTAACTGGGTAAAGCGACACACACACACACACACACACACACACACACACACACACACACACACACACACACACACACACACACAGAGTTAACGGGAAGGGCTGGGTGAGGGCTGAGGGGCTCTACGGTTCAGAGAGTTACGCACCTGGGCGGGAAGGTGATGTCCTCTTCTGTGAGGACATCATGGAATGCCATCACCTCCTTATCATACTTCAGAAGCTGCAAGAAAAAAAAAACATACAGTCTGAGACGGAAAGTTCAGGTCTAGAAAGTAGAAAGAAGATTTTTGTTTCAACCAACCATTTAAGTATAAAGATTCACAGTCTAAGTTACTGGGAGTCCTGAGCTGGTGGGATGAAACACCTTGGTCTGGATTTCTACTTTCTGGACCTGAACTTTCCACCTCTGCAGGTAGTTAACAATTTAGAGAGACATTCAAAGATTAGATTAAATTAACTTTATTGATCCCAGGAGGAAATGACTATGCATACGGCTGCCAGATGCTTAGAGCAGGAGAAAATACATTTAGTGCAAGACAGACAAGGTGCAAGAACGGCACAGACAGCATAAAGCCGAAAGAGACGGTGATATTGGCATGATAAAAAGATTTCACTGGTGAACAAAGATTTTGTTACGATACAACTAAGGGGCGTCTTATTTAAGGCCTACGCCATTATGCTGATTTCAGAATTTTGCTATCACACAGTTTTTGAGTAATGTCATCTTTAGGCAATATCGATAGTATCCTTATAGTTCCTTATTATGATTGTACAGGTACATTAATTTATTAAAACTGATTTATTCCCATCTGTGAACATTTTGAAGACTTCACAGAAGAGGGCAAGGTACTACAAGTCTGTTTTGACAGAGTTTGCATGCTGTGACATGTTTGTACATTTCATCAGGTTATTTCTGATATGGAAAAACAGCATCAAAACAAGCCCAGTACGCTGGCTGACTTCTGCTGGTCCCTAAAGAGGGACGTTCCGTTTCTATATTTTAGATAAATCGCTTATAGAGCATATGTCTAGTGTAAATACACAAACAGGATAAAGTATCCTATAAAATATCCTATATGATTTCGATTTGTGTGATAAAGTAAAAATGTGTTGACCAGTGATATAGAAGTAATGTTAGAAATGCAGGGAGGTCATTCTGCCGGGTTTGCTTGCCTGATTATTCCAACATGAAAATATTTTATATAGGAGTCATTTACAGGAGAGATAAATAAGCAATAAATGGCTGAGCACTGCTGTTATTTCTGCATAATGTTGGACTTTTCCTAAATGACCAATGTGCTCAGGTAAGAGATGGAGTGAGACTCCTTATCCAGTATAGAGGGCATACTGGAGTCTTATTTTTCTGCCCACGGCCCACGTGACGAAAAATCAGTGTATGTGAGGTGAACATGGCAAAGCTATGACACAAGGTGAAGGGAGAGTTGGCCTAGACAACCCGCCCCCCCCCCCCCCGTACCCCCCCATACCTCTCTACCGTTGTCTTCTCTGAAGACTGCCTGGTGCAGGTACGCGAACTGCTTGGTCTCGATGTGGAGCAGTACCTAAAGCGGCCACAGAGACAGAGGAAGGGGTCATGGAGACGCTTAGAGGCCTTCAGTGCGTAGATGGTGGTGGGGGGGGGGCACTGCGGGAGGGGTTACCCTGTGGTCATCGTCCTTGTCCTCACAGATGATCTTCTCCACCTCATTGCTGCTGTCCTTCTTCACTGTCTGGACCTCCGCCGACCGGGCCAGGGCCTGTGGACACGTCAGAGGAAACGCAGATGTCTGACAGGCCTGGAAGCCCCTCCCCCCCATGCATGCGGCCCGCCCTATGCTTGCCGGACCATAGCCGTACCTGAACCAGGCTCAACGTGTCCAGCCGGAAATTAAAATCCCCAAAGAGGAAGAAGGGGAGAGACGTGTAGCTGCTGTCGGATATTCTGGGGGGAAAAGAGGAATACCTACAGTCAGTAAGCAAAGAGGAATACCTACAGTCAGTAAGCAAAGAGGAATACCTACAGTCAGTAAGCAAAGAGGAATACCTACAGTCAGTAAGCAAAGAGGATGGTGAAGAGCAGTCAGACGAGCAGACCAAGGCAGAACTGCTCAAGAAAGCTACTCACATTGGTTGTGACTCAGTCAACAGGTTGGAAAATGTTACTTATCCTAAGCTCTTCAGTTAGTAACTGGTATTGCAATAAATGTAACATAATAAATGTGCATTAACAAATGTCATAGATGCTTTTGTCCAAAGAGATGTACAAGTGAGGATCAGAAAGCCAGGTCAGTGTGTCTAGGGCAGCTGGGGATAATGGTCTCATTCAAAGGCCCAAGGGTAACATTACAATGCCAACCAAGGGATTAGAACCAACAACCTTATGGCCAACCCACAGGGCCAGATGCCGTAACACTGGCGAAGCCTAGAATGTCATGCAGAATATAATATAATAAAGTGAATGTGATAAAAGTGACCAGTCCCCCCCCCCCCATACCTGTCAATGACGTAGCGCAGGGCGTTGCTGCGATTGGCCGAGTAGATGGAGGGGCTGGAGTTGCAGGCAATGAGGTTGGAGGCGTCGTGAAAGAGGTGGACATTGACCAGGTCGAGGCCCCTGCGTGAACGGCGAGGTTAGACGGACACTGGGAGGACCCCCCCCCCCGCCCAATATCAGGCAGCTGCTGAGCGCGGCTGCATCTTAAAGCTTAAAGCTTAAAGCTTATCTTACGGTGACTGTAAAATAATAAAAATCTAAAGACAGCAGCTGCCATAAACAGATTCCTGTCATAAACAGAGTTTATCAGTAAACAAAAAAACGAAAATGAAAGGAGCACAGGCCACCTGTGCAGCCCACGGCGCTGCCTTCTGCATGCCTCTGTTTTATGCTTTTGGGCATTTTGACAAAATGAAACCGCAGGGACTACAGAGGGGAAGTTTTCAGTAGGTAAAAGTGCAAGCAAGACACGACTTGCGTGGGAGGCCCAGGGTCCTGAGGACAGCTGGTTTAACAGCCACTATCCCTGCAGCCCCTGCACCCGGGGGGGCTGCAGCACAGGTTAAATAGCCCCTGCCCACCCACGCCCACACGGGAACATTAGTCACCCCCGCTTGGCGTTCCCTCATTTTTTTCCTCTTCTCTCTGCCACCTGGTGACGATTAATGTACATCTGAGAGGCACAGTGTTGACTCACTAGAGTGACTCCAGCAGCACTCTGGGAATTGGGCTCCCTTCATCACAGCGAGGAGGGGGGAGGGGGACATGAGAGAGCAAACAGTGGCTATTGTACGTGCAGTCGCACAGCACATTTGCTGACACGTGTTGGGGACGCGAGCTCCCACCAGACGACACCCCAAAGCACTCGGGGTGAGACTTACTGGTTGTGGATGATCCACCGCGCCCTCATATATCCTTTCCTGGACCACTTGAACTGCAAGATGAATCAAGAAGGTTAGAAACTAGCGCTTGTGAAGGCTTAGTGACCAGCTCCCACAGTTATGTATAGATATCAAAATACTCAAGAGTGCAAAACACAGGACAAGATCAAGAGTTTAGAAAACCCCAGTGAAGAGAATCTCATTTGTGACACTTTTGCTTATGGTCTTTTCATGCTGTTCTCCATCCATTTGTTTACCATTAAAACTGACGGACATTTCTTTTTTTAGCAGATATTTTTATCCAAAGTGAAGTACAACCGATACAGGAGGACCAGCCAGTCCGCGGAGCACATGGGATTAAGGGCCATGCTCGACGGCCGATGGTGACATCACTCTGCCGGCCACGAGATTCGAACCGGTGACCTTCCGAGGCACAGAGGTCTAACCTGCAGAGCCACGCATCATTTTTAATAACCGATATTTAGCACAGATATCTTTTAGCATGTGGACAGTCATCAGACAGCTCATATGTAGGTGTCTGTAGATCCCATGAACCGTAGAATTAAGCAGCATCGTAATTTCGGGGGCCTGAGTTTGACTGTAGCTTCCTGTAAGGGCTCAATTTGTTAAGCCATTCTGCAGTACAAACAGGTGAATGTTGTGAGGATCTATAAGTAAAAGCACAAGCTAAGCGGCTGAGTGCGAAACTGGAAAATTCCTAAAGGAACACAGATCCAGAATTCTAAGTGGTGAAAAGGTCAATAAAAGCTGACTCCCAGATGCCCAGAAATTCCCCCAAAACCCCCCGGAACACCGGAGAAACCCTTGACCCCCCCACCGGCATACAAACTTACATCTGGCCAGAAATTCTTGGGGAATTTTTCTTTCTCTATCATCGTCACCCCATCTAGGGAGCCGACGTATCTGTTGTGCCCCGACACGGCTTTGAATTCCTTCGCTGGGGGTTGGGGTGGGGGAGGGGGGTAAAAGAGCGAAAAAACATGCAAACACCAATCAATAAGCTAATGCAGCACTCATGGACGCCACATAGATGATAAACAGATCTATAACCGGCCCATTAGCTGCCTACGGACCATATCCGGAGGCACGACAGGCTGGACAGAACGGCATCATTGGGAGATTTAAGGCTCTCCTATCGTCTGATTCATTTCAGGTACTTGTGGTGCCGCTGGACTGTGCATCGGGAAAACGATTTTGTTAACGGCATTTGCTTAATGCCCACTTGGTTCTGTCCCTCCCCCAGATGTATAAATCTTGTCAAACGAGGGGAGAATAAGAAGTAAACATTCGAGAATATTTAGAACTAGAAAAGAAGTTAGAAGACAGTTTCAGTCCTTCACGGTTTGCCTATTGAATCCATTCACTGCAATTATTATCGTTCAAATGAACAGTTCAAGCATGGTGAGGCAATGGCACCGGTGGTGTGATTTGCATGTAGCCATCTGACTAACGACAATGCTGCTAAATTTGTTTCTCTCTCGTGTACATTCTGCTGAAGGGCTGGCCTATCGTTTAAGGATAAGAGCTTTCAGGTGAATGAATAATGTAAATACTGCTCCAGTCCAGGCGCTGAGGCCTCATTTGTGTTTGTGTTGCTAGCGGTCAGACGCAGTGTTTGCACATGCTGCTGGGAGAGGCCAAACATGACATCACCAAAGGCACTGGGAGAGGCCAACCATGACATCACCAAAGCCGATTTTTAACCAGAGCGGACAACAACGGGAGGTTGCTTTTTAACATAAACGGGTTAATTCTCTTTTTAATGAATGGCTGGCGGACAAATATAATTTTTTATACCTACCATTAAAATCATACTGGTATATGTTCTTCAAGGTCTTGTGAATGAAGTACATGCTTCCAAGGGCCTAAAACAAACAAACAAACAAAACAAGGAAAGAAACCTTTGTAATGCATGCATGTGTATCTCTTTTTTTTAATGTGTTTGACACAAATTCTAATATGGACTCCATAAGAAACACAACAAAATTACACAGCAGTTTGTATGTTTTATGAAGATAAACCTGTGATAAGAAGCTATATTTGCAAGCTACAAGCTATAATAAAACACTAAAGACAAACTTCACGTTATTGATCTAGCTCAGTTACAACACGCCCCCCTCTGCCAATTGCTGTGATGTTTTATGGGACACACTGCAATCCCGACTGGAGCCCTTACAGGATTCAGCTGCAGCTTCCCTGAAAAGGCCTGTGCAGAGCCAAGTCCTGCGTCAGGGTTCAAAGTACTGAGGTTATTTGCAGAAGGGGCAATTGGATCATACGCTATTGTGTGCGGACAGGCAAGCTCCTCTTCATTTGTCAGCCCCCCCAGCCTTGCCAAACCCCTCTCCTTTTCCCCCCCCCCCCCCGAAGAGTACACACCCACACTTTACCTAACCATCACCACTGACACGGCCTGACAATTTTTTAATGTACTGACTGCCTGCTTCACTGATCTGATTAATCGCACCCCCGGAGATCAATAGAAACAGAAAATTAAATCATTTAAAACGGATTAAGCGATTGGGCTGATGTGGGGGCATTCACAACCCTGGGGGGGGGGGTGGGGGTGAGGGACCCCTAACACACACAAAATGGCTGATTAATCTTACGGTCAAAATGATCCTCATGTAATGTGACAAAGCTGTCCCCCTGACCACAGTGACACGAGGGGGGGCTTTCTGGGCATGGGAGTCTGGGTCTGTTCTCCGTTCGGCTGCCGACTCCCACGGTCCCAGCAGTTTCTGAGCGGTAACCTCAGTCTGACGGATAATCCGCCACTAGCCAGTTTAGGTTAAAAGTCAGTAACTTTGTGGAAAAACAACTATCCAGCTGGTTAACTCATTCTTATTAATTGGATTTACTAATTTAATTTGGTTTGAGAAAGCAGCCACAGTTCAGATGAAGCTTGACAGTCTGGGGTTAAACTCCCTGTTCCTCCTTCCTCTCCTCCTCCTCTTTTTTACTCTCTATTCCTCTCACCCAATCCTTCCCTCCTTTTTTACAACCCAACAGCAGGCTCACCCATCTTCATCAATCAGCCCACCGTGCAGTTTAATAAAAATGTATTGACTTACGAGTGATTTTTTATCAAAACACCATTTATACCTGTGTACACATGACGCCCCCCCCCGTCCCCCCGTCCCCAGCCCCGGCAAAGGCGCTGATCTGTGGCCGAAGTTAAACAAATTGAAAATCAATGCTGGAGTCGCGGATGAAATGAGAACGATGAGAGGGGGACTGGGGCCTTGTTTCCAGGGGGGGGGTGGGGCATCGTCTGGGCCGTCCAAACCCCCCCCGCGTTATTTATCGTTTGTGAATGGGAGAGAGAATCGATAATTTTAATCTGGAGTTAAATTTATTAACTTTGCTCAGCCCCCCCCCCTCCAAGTCCCGGTGTGCCAGGACCCGCAGAGAGGGACCCCACCCCTGAAAGATGGGAAGGCATCACCTATGGGTTAGAGAGGGATGGAGCTATGTCAGAGCCCTCTGACGCCTCGTGTGTGTGCCCATGTGGCACCGGAGCGCCAAGGAGGAAGGAAACTTAGTGCTGATGAGGAGGATGAGGAAGAGCAGTACCAACCAATCAGGGCGACACAGAGCCAGATGGGGAGGCCACTGCGCAGTGCCGACCACGAGATTCAGGCAAGCTCTCTCAGGTCACTGACAGCCCCGCAAGACGCAATCCTGCAAGGCTGCGGCCATCAAGCCAACGGCGGCCCCTCAGTAACCAGGCATCACACCTACGCAGTCATAAAGCACACAAACCGCATACTGCCAGCTCCAACCGCACGTCCAAGCGGACGCGCTCGCCGAGTCAGCCATCGTGCACCCGTCTTGGCATACGAGCCTGACGGCGGGGCGGAAGAAGGCGAGCAAACACAGCGGGCTGAGCAAACACGAGAACAACACGTGGTACTTTAATCATGTGCTCTGGTTGCCAAGTAGGAAGCCAGCACTGAACCTGATGGAGGTAACGCCTCACAAAGAAGGAACCTCAAACGATAGCCTGAGGTTGCTCCGGACTCTGATACACTCAGTCACAACCGCGGTCAGCCCCCCTGGGGGCAAGGGTCCACCACACTCACCGCCGAACATGAACACAGAGCGGGCATCACAGGCTAACCGTGTGACCACGCTGAAGCTCTCTCCAGCCCGTTCTGACATACGAAGCCAAGCTACCGGGTGGCACAGCCTCGGCGCCACGTTCCCTCTGCTGTGCCAGAGCGGTACGGGGCCTGCGGGTGCCAAGCCAGGCTGGCATAGTTTGCTTTCCATCGAGGCCAGGATCCTGGCCAAGGCTGCCGATAATAAGCTGATGCCTCAGCAATTAAAAAAAAAAAATGGAGAAGTCACTGGGCTTCGCTTAAACTGGCGCGCTTTCATAAAATGTTAATTAGTCTCCTGGGATAGAATCCAAAACCCTCCAGGTGAAAAGAGGAGCAAACAATTGTAATGGGAAAAAAGCACTATTTTTTCAGTTTAAAAATGACACAGCTACATAAAGAGGTGTAGACTTTGATTAGTCATTTTCTGAAGAAATTGAAACTGGACAAAACAGAGCAAAACAGATAAACCTCACACCCCAAGAGGAGGAGGTCTGAATCCTCTCCCCATCTTCATGTGGCTTCTGCATGTTCACCCTGCATTCTGCAGGTTTCATCCAGATATGCTGCTTTGCTCCAGCAGTCCAAAGACGGTTAGCTGGCATGAAACTGGCATCCCATGCTGGGTCCCCCCCTGCCCTGTGGTGTATGCTGGCAGGGACAGGATCCACGCCCCCCGTGACACTGACAGGATAAGTGGTTGGAAGAGGGATGGATTATGTTTTTACAGCACCCATTCGCTGTTCCAAAAAAGAAAGTTCATAAACAGCGAATTAAAAAAAAAAAAAAAAACCATACCAGACAGAACAATGAAAAAACATTTGACCAATCATGTACTACGATGTCGGAACAAGCCAGCTGAAGGACACGTCTGTCTGAAGCAGGTCTGGCAATGAAAAGACAAACCTTTGCAGTAAGTCTAGGACCTGACTGCTATGGCAACAATGGTCAACTCTGCCATTTATAGATGTTTTTTCATTGTCAAAAATAGAAAAAAAAAGTTCAAAGTTGAGCATTTTGATAGATTTAACAGTTCTTAGCTGTCTCTACTCAAGACTACACCTAGTGGCCACAAATGTCACATTCAGGAAAGCAATGTAACAGTAAATTAAATCAACAAGTGACACATTTCACCATTTATAAGTTTGTTTATGCTACATACACGGGCGGTTTAAACACAACAAATCACTCTTATTATTAAGTCATAACTTCAGCGCTTATTTTCAGGGATCATCATTAAGTCACTAGACAGCCCCGTTACTGACTAGCTTAATGAAGAAACATAAGACAAAAAATTAAGATGAATTTCATGTTTGATATTAATTATCAAATTCCCCCGCCCATTAACTCTCCACAATGCGAAGAAAAAAATCTAACTGAATGCTACATTGTCTTTCGTTGTTTTTCAAACTCCTGTTCTCAAAATCTGCTTCACGGCAGAACAGTAAGAAGTACAACGCTTATGCCAGACTGCTGGCTCCCTCTAGTGGTGATAGTCAAGGCAATCAGTTTGCTTGTTTTACAAAACAATTCAAAAGAGCGGAGTTCACTGCCTCTGTTGTACACCGTTCTAAAGCATCTATACAGGCTGCAGTCTTGTCTTGCTTACTCAAACTCAACAGTGACAATCTTGTGTATATCTACTCCTGATGAAATTAATGAATTTGTTATTATTTGATTAAAGGTTATAATCTAGCCAGAGATACTTTTCACATCACTACTCACATTAACGCCATGGTTACCTAAAGCCTCCACAGGCCTCTGTGTTCCTGACAGGCCTTCAAACACCTGAACGAGACACAATCTTGGCTACTCCTGTATTTCTTTGTAAAACCAGCAGGTCCTTTTACTGGATCCAAATGGTCCAGCACTGAGCAGTACTGGGTGTGGAATCTCACCGTGAAGCTGTCCACAGCCTTGAAGTTACTGTCCACGTAGATGCAGACTCTGTCAAAGTCCCTCATCTCCTCGCTTGACTCTATTTTCCTGGGAGAGACAAAAGAGCTCAAAAGAATCTGTTGCCAGCTGGTACCATGATGGCTGATTTTATGCTAATGCTATTAGCACTAACACAGACCAGCCCTTAAAATGCAGCCCCTCTGTTTATGGATTGTGTTCCGTTATTTTCACGCATCCCTAATGTTTTCCCAGTTGTTAGCATAAGCCATACATCATATTATGTGACATTACTGCAATGCATCTGTTGTGTGAACAGGATCTAATCGAGACAACCTGGTTACTATGGTAAACAAGTTCGGCACATTGTTTCTGAGGACAAAGAGATGCAATGAACTCGCTGTTGAGCAACAACACGTGTGGCCCCTACCCAAGGACCCCTTACCAGATGAAATTCTCGGTGTGGCTCATGTTGGACATGTACTCCTTCCCCCCCACCTCCTGGAAATGCAGGGCCACAAAGCGAGGCCGATATGTCTGGACCGTCTGCAGAGACACCACAACTCACATCAGACCGAGTGACATTACCGGGTCGCTCTGCAGACCGGCACCGGGTGGTGCAACTATGCACATTTACTCACACTTCACACTTCACATTAACTGCACCCTCATCATGCCTTTATAATGCGTTCATAGAACATTCAGTGCACCTTCATAATGCATTCATAGAACATTCAGTGCACCTTCATAATGCATTCATAGAACATTCAGTGCACCTTCATAATGCATTCATAGAACATTCACTGCACCTTCATAATGCATTCATAGAACATTCACTGCACCTTCATAATGCATTCATAGAACATTCACTGCACCTTCATAATGCATTCATAAGCAGCATACAACTACACCTTAACATCCTAACATACCTTAACAGTGTTAAGTTTATTGAACCTGTTCAGGTATGTTATGATGTTAAGGTATACATTCATGTTGCTTATGAATGTTTTATGAATGCATTATGAAGGTGCACTGAATGTTCTACGAATACATTATGAATGCACAGTTAATGTAAAGTTATTGCACATTTATACAGCTGAAATCATGCCTAAAGCAACAGGATTCTGGTACCTGCTCAATGGTACAACAGAAACAAGGTAAAGACAGGGGTGCTGTGACATTGGGTCCGGGATCAATGTGTATTCTATTCTATATTTACAGATCCATCCATGGACGTTTGGTGAAAACTTGCAACACGTGCACACAATATGAATATGAAGCTACTATCAGACACTGTGTTTTTTCCTCTACTTAATTAATGACCTACAGAGTAATGTGTTATTTATATATGGCTAATGACAATTAGCCATATATAAATCATTAAACCAAACACTCAAAAACAGAACCTGGAGGCAACATTTAAAAAGCTTCCTGATTTGTTTAGAGAGCCTCATGCTTGGATAGCTTTTGTAAAGTAATTGCTCAAACACAAAAGCAAATCCAGACACCAACACCTCAAAGAAAACACTGGCTGCTCAGTGTAAAAATGATCAACACAGCACCCTCTGCTGGAAGCGGTTTGCAATACCCAGCAAGCGGGTTACTCTGCGGATGCCACACTGATGGGTCCCCACTCAATGGGGAGAGCTGCACAGACACCAAACTCACCGTGAAGAATTCCCGGAGCCACTCGCTCTCAATTTCTCCAAGCTGGGAAGGAAGGAGACACGGGTACACAATCAGGACAGGACATTGTAAAAGCCATCGTCTGAAGTCTATCAGTCATAATGAACCTGAATGATACATAAATCATCAGCCAAAGGGGGGTGAGTTACGTGATGTTTTACCATAAATACAAATTTATGATGATTTTCATACATCTGATATCTTTAGATACAGACCATCCATTCTAAAGAATACATCAAACAACACGCAAGATCCACATAAACACAGGACCAATACAGAGTTATACCGAGACGACTGGACAGAACTCTTTAGAACATCTTGGAATTGTATTATAATGAAAACAGTTAGAGATAAAACCACTGCAAAAGGTCTGTCTATGTGCACAACATAAAAACAAACTTATATCCATGAGACTGCAGAAATCCAAAGGGAAGACAAAAAATACAAGAAAAAAAATGACATTAGAATTGATCTACTTGCATCTAAATTCTAAACTGTCACACGGCAGTGTTGCAGTGAAGTGAGACGGAGAGGATTCTGCTTATGACTGCATGAAATGACACAAATAATAAGTTACAGCAAAATACCTTATCAGGATATGCAGACATTTGGTAAATTCTCCCCTCGCCCCCACCAGCCCTCTGTCACACTGTCTGAAGGGCACTAATCTACTTTGGCCCAAGCGTACGGCCAGCAGCGAAAGGAAGGCGGGGAAGCAAACGGGGGGCAGTGGAGCCAGATAAACAGCCGCAGGACGGCTTTGGAGCTGCAGCCACGCATGGCATCACAGGCGCAGGCTGCCACAGACTGGCACAGGCTGCCACAGACTGGCACAGGCTGCCACAGACTGGCACAGGCTGCCACAGACTGGCACAGGCTGGCACAGACTGGCACAGGCTGGCACAGGCTGGCACAGGCTGGCACAGGCTGGCACAGGCTGGCACAGGCGGACGGGTGAATGACAGATGAGGTTTTCATAAAAGGTGGCTGAACCAAAATAAAAAAAAAAGAATACAATTTTTTTCAGATGGTTTTTCAAATGAAAACCTTCATAAAGTAACCATTTAAGTGTCTAAAATGCATCAGACATTTCCAATTCGTAGTAATATTTAGTAATATTAATTGCAATTGCACCAACCGTCTTTCAAGCTAATTTCAATTAAACAGACATCGGCTTGGATACCTGCAGACGTTTTTGTTCTTGATATCAAGTTTACACATATAATTTAAAACTAAATATCCCTTTTTTTTTGCCACCGGACATTTGCAGACAAATGTTTTTCAATTATCTTAATGGCTTTAAAACCAGTGTTCTGCAACTTAAGAGTTTAAAGGTTTCAAACATAGAATTATACGTGACTAATTAAGCTTTTTAATTATTTAAAAACCTATTTATTTCTCTGCTCATTTGTTTGACTGGATACCCCACCAGACATTTTTGGAGTTTGAGATACAAAAATGTCAAAACTGTATATTTTTCTTATGTTGTACATAGTGTACATTGAAATTATACATATTTGTATAGATGTGTATATTTAATGTCAATGCACTGGAAATGTACTCACATTAAAGGGGATTCATACAATATTGGCAGGCATGTAATGTATTATTTTAAAAAAATAATGGACTCGAAACACAAAAAAAATGCACGTCATGTCATTCACCTTGATGCAGTCTCCAGACAGAGTGTGACAGGGACACAGAGCGTGTTTTCCTGCCCTGTAGGTAAGGAGACTCCCTGTGGACTTGGGACCGGACCTGCTGTGCACAAATGACTCTGCTTTCCATTGAAAAATTCCATTGTATTCCAGACTGTACAGGGGGGTGAAGACAGTAAAAGTTGTAAGGGCAGCAGTTGGGGGCGTGAAGGAGGTTGGCATAGGCTGTTTGCCAAATCGGTGTTCCTTCAGATGATGCCTCTCTGGGAAATTGTCCATCATGACCTGATCAGTATCTACCACTGGCAGCCACTAGATGGCAATGCTTCTGCCCGCCAGGTGGCCAAGCGCTCGCCCATGTTCAAAATGTGGGACAGCTTTACACATACTTTGCATTTTGCTTTCCATTCGCATTTGAGATCTATAGCCATCCAGTTACAATATTTGGGACTGGAAATGCAGGAAATGTAAACTGCAAATAAGCCTATATCTGTATTCCTTGCTGTAGATGAATCAAGCATGCCCTGACAGATAGATAACGCCAAGCATGCACCCCGCTCCATGGTTCGCTCTTCAGTGTGTGCTCTGTGTACATTCTGGCACTGACAATCAGCTCACATCAGTGAATTAATCAAAAACATTAATAAGTAAATACAGATGTCTTTTTAGAAAACATAGCAGAGCAATTTCTTGCAGTAGTCTGGAAAAAACAAAATATTTCCATTCTTTCCTCTTTCCACACTGATCCAGACTTGAAAAACACCAAAATCAAATTCAGTTCTGCACAGGGACCCCTATTGGTTCCCCAGAGTTAAAACTCAAGAGTTTTAATGTCACTTGTGTTAAAAATGGGGGAATAAAACTATATCCTGGAAAGCCGGTATTGACCATGACAGTTTGGGTCACAGCACCGGTGTCACCGCCGCAGGAAGTGAGGGGGTGGCAGCTGCTTTGCATACTCCATTTGCATGGTTATGGGGATATGGGCATCTGGAGAACCACCAAAGCAGCATCTCATCGGCTTCACGTTTCGCCATCAGTGTCCCACCCCTGCACCCCCAGCCCCTCTTGGCCCCAAGAGGAGTCAAATGGGACGAGACCAGTCTGGTAAGGAAGGAGTTACTTAAAGCAGTGTTTATTAAACCGGTCCTCAGGGACCCCTGGACAGTCCATGATTTTGCTCCCACCAGAAGCTGGGAGGGAGCAGAAACGTGGACAGCAGGCAGGGTGAGAGCAGTACTGTGGATGGTCTAGGGGACTCGGGGGAGCAGGGTGGGAACACTGACTTAAAGGGCCAAGATGCCAGCAATATTGCATAGCTACAGGAGGAAAGCAACATCCCCAGGCACAGAAATAGACACTCATAATACGGTCATCAGTCCCTGCAGGTCACTCCGTAGCGAAGAGCTCTTGGAAACCTTCCCTATCCAGAGAGTAAAGAGTGAGGCAAGGTTATAGCCCCAGTCCTGACCCTCAAAGTGAAGATAACCCACCACATGCTTAACAGAGCCAGAAAATTAGCAAACCTAGCTCAGTTAATTAGCTTAAGTTACTCACCTCTTAAGTACTCACAGAGCTACAGAAACCATATCATACCTCACTGTGATTTACAAGCGTCAATCACACACAACTTAGTGCAGCCACTAATGACTATTTTTCTACAGATTACTCTGTCGACTAGTTTACCAACTGGTCGGTTAATATAAGTGATTAAATTTCCTCCAGAAAATCAAATTTGACCTTTTAAGTTCATTTTATTTTGACAACAAACTGCATCGCATTGCAGGGCTTTAGATAATGGATGCTGGCTTTTCAGCACTACATGGGCATTATTTTCACCCACAATCCGATAAGCAGATTAGTAGTATGCCTAAAATGATGTGTATAGTCATGCCCAAAAGTCAGTAATCTGAATAGGTTCAGCATGGCTTTCTACCCATTTTTGTAACCACTTGTCCTATTCAAGGTTGCTGGGGGTCTGGAGCCTAATCCCAGGTGCAAGGCAGGGAACAACCAAGGATGGACCGCCAAGCCATCGCAGGGCACACTCACACCTATAGGCAGTCAATCTGGCATCGTCAATCAATGCAAAATTATCCTAAACCCAGATTTTAGCCTAAATATTTTCGCAAGCACTCATTCAATGGAGACTCAAAGGTAGCAGGCAGACAACTTTATGGCTTTAATAATGAGTGTGTTTAGCAGCTACAAAAGATATTTAAAAGTTCTCCGTACTGAAGGGAATTCAATAAACATGAATAAACAAAACACTGAAAAGAACACACAGAAATTATGGGCTAGATAAATATATAAATATAATTATGTTATTTTTAAGCTTAAAACTGTAGTCTGGGAAACAAAATATAGAACTATTTGTTCGATGATTACGATAATGGGGATGAACATACAGAAAGTGCTCTGCAGCGAGACATTAAGTGAGCTTAACACTGTTTATCTTGACATTAGTATTAATACCTGAATGACCTTTTAATAAATGCTGGGAAAATCCCAGTCCATCTGTTTTTGCTTATCCAGAGTTGGATTGTGGTCGTGAACTGCGAGGTGGGGAGGGGCCCGCTCAACCCCCCCTTCAACACTTTTGCCTTGCAATACATGTTGTTTGGCTAATGGGTCCGATGACGTAACATTAACGTTTGCCTTGCCTAAAAAAAAAACCACTAACACAAGATGCCAGTGAAGCACACACAAACTGGGTAATGTGCACCTAACATCTTGTGGCCGTCTGGTAAACGAAGCTGCCTACAGACTGGTCTAAGATTAATGAAAGCAAGAAGAGAGCAGCTGTGGAGGGAGATTGGGGAGGATGAGAACTAGTGAAAAAATACAGCAGGACGCCAATAAAATGCTGACCTGGGTAGATCAAACTCAAAAACAGCCAGGAAACGTGAAATAACGCTCAGCGCCGTTATCTTACCGCACAATCTCACATTAAGTCTGAACTTGTTGACCAAGCCGGATCCTGACATCGCACTACAAGCGGAAGAGGGACAGAGAAAGCATAGACCAAGGCCCATACACTTCCATGTTAGGAAGCGTCTCTTCATACAAATCCCCCGCCCTGACTCCCCTTCCTGGGAAAGAAACCTTTCTGTTTTTACAGAAACCTTAACATCTACAGCGACGTATTTTCTATGGCACCAATACGGGAGCTGGAAAATCTGCCCCGAAGCCAAATTTCCACGAGCGAGTCTCGTTGAAATCTCTCAAACTATAAATACGGCCTTAACAACACGTTCAAACAAACAAAGGAAAACCGAGCCTATGCGGGGAATAAGTCAGACTTTTGTTACGCTGCAGCGCAGACGAGGGACGTTAATCCAAAAAAACAAAAACCTAAAACCTAACCTCCAAACGGTGGAACTGTTCGTGGCAGTATATAGCACGTCTCGATAGGTAGCTCAACTCGTCATAATACGGTCTCTGAGAACGTGACCCCGACTCTGAATGCGGCGCCGAATGAGAGTTTAAGCGACATCCCGGGGTCTGTATGGGTGTCACACTTCAAACAGTACATGTGAACGGCTATTTACAGAGACAGTTACATTTATTTCTGTGTGATAAGTAAACAAAGGAGGCTCCCAGCATTGGCGGCGACAACGTATTGTCACTTTAAATTGATTTTACTTATACGGCTGGCTCTATAACCATACCTTGCTCATTGACGCAAAGCTGGGACCATCCCGAGGTTACAGTCCCCATCCTTACAGTGTTTTGCCGCCGTGATATCGGCTGACCCACTGCGTTCCTCATCGCCTAAATTACAAACCCTTTTCCTTTAGGATACATTTGCATACAAACTGACTCGTGCGGCCCGGCGCAGATAGACGGGCACAGCACAACGCGCGGAAACGGACCACCGCAATGCCACCTGCTCCACTGCCTGCTTTTCAGCGCAGTCTACCCACTGTCATGCACATAGCGATCGTGTGCAAGTGTTTTTTTTTTTAAGCTTTTTAGAAAGTTTTTTTTACATTTACATGTACTCGGTGAGTGCATTAACAAGGGAGTTAAAAAACAGGTCATAGGTCAGAATCCACAGGTGGAGTAAAGTAAAACCTTGCATGACGATGTACATAAAGGGACCCTGACAGACTGTAATACAGTGTTAATACAGTGTTAACACAGCGTGCCATTTGGGAGAATGAGACTACTAGTGCTTAAAGATTAAGAAAAACTGTTAGATTAAATGTTTTGCCTTTGGGATAAGCATTATGCTGTCAGCTTATCCATAGCAACATATGTGTGGGCAGCTGAGAATTTCACACATGCTGCAGAACTGCCGAGACATGGCAAGAGATTCATCCCAAATAAGACAGTTACCTCAAAATAGGGGAAACGTGAGATTCACTATGACCATCATTTCCTAGCACGTCCATGTCGTTTAAGTCTCCAGTCTCACGACCACAATGTCAGACGCATGCCGGCTATAAGTCCCTTGCCGCGCTGGACGAGCAGAAGCCAGAAAGCACGTTTAATCTGGGAAACCATCAAACATGAGTGAAACTTCTGAAATGAACTGAGGCAGAACACAAAGTGGGTCCACCCAGGCGGAAGTGGAAGGCATCTGGCAAGGGACTGTGAGCCTCCAAGGAGAGGGACCCTGTGACTGAGAGCAGCAGAGCTCCTGCCCCATCTTTGCAGATGTTCCTGCTGCAACCTTGATTTCATCAAATGCATCACACCTAGAAATGTATCATACATAGAAAGGGCATACCTAGAAATATATCATACCTAGAAATTTTGTGCCCCTAACAAAATGCTACCATGGACCCCACTGCCTAATTTTGCATATAATTTTATGCTGCACCTCTGCTCATATTGGCCATAACTGGGAGAGTTCTGAAAGTAAGCATTTACCATTTGCTACAGCATGGGAGAGACGGTGCGGGTTTTTGGGATGACCTCTCAATCGGCCAATAACATTGGGTCCCCAGCACTGCAGTTGAGAACCGCTGCTTTACTATTGGCTGATTGAGAGGATCCATGGATCAGGTTCGCCACCGCTGTACTACAGTGATGGAGATTACTTGGGCTTCCTGCAGGCTTCTCATATTTCTCCCAATACAAAATCATACATAACAGAAGGAGTGTGGGGCTCTGCTGGACAGGACTCTGCGCCCATTACTGAAGGATCAACCGTTTCCATGGTAGGCAGATTGATGTCACCGTTGGGCCCTTGAGCGAGGGCCTTAACCCTGACTGCGGCAGGCACCCTCTCACCCTGCTTTCACAAGTGCATGTTGCTTTAGATAAAAGCATCAGACAAATCAATAATAATAATAAAAATACAGTGACTGATGTCTCCGAGTTGCTGTGTGTGACTCTGTGCCCTGTCATATACCAGCATCTGATCCAGGGTGTTTGCTGCCTTGGGTTTCAGGGGCAGCGTGTGGCTCAGTCAGAAGGTTGCCGGTTCAAGCCCAGCCAGTACGTCTGTAGGCCCTTAACCCCCAGCTCCCTGGGCGCTGCTATGGATGGCTGCCCTTTGTGGCCAGCTTGCTCTCACCTAAATGGGAGACTCATAAAGAAAATTTCTCCATGGGGATCCATAAAGATCCATTATTATTAATAATTACCCTATGCAATCAGAGACAGGCTCTACGGGGACCAATAAAGTACCTATTATAATTAGTAATTACCCTATGCAATCAGAGACAGGCTTCAGGCTCATCACAAAGTTGCATTTGCTGGATGGATGTATAGATGGATGGATGGACTATAGTGAATAATTACACTAGTCTCCAGTTTGTTAAGAACAGAATGCAGTTGTTAAAAGGTATCACATTTCTAACCTGAGCTCTGTTTAATGGCTACTTAGTTATGGTATACTTGTAGTAGTTTACAAAGGATGGTATGATGAACAAAGAACTAACCATTTCAGCTATATCCCAACAGCTATGTCAAGTACTACACTGAGTGGACAGACCAGATTTTCAAAGGGCTTTACCAATGGATAGATAGCAAGTACAACGCTACAGTAATCTTGACAGTGTAGAACTTTGAGAGCAAACTGACTTACCTTCTCTTTCCTTTCAAGTTTTTCCACTGTGGTCATGATAAGCAGTGCACACTGGACAATGTTTTACTATCAAAACGTCAACCTCTATTGTGTAAGGTATATAAGACTTCTCTTTTAAGTTCATTACATACTAGTGAACTAGAGACTCTTACACACTTTCAAAAGCCTTCAAAAGAACTAATGTCAGAATAGAAAATGAACCAACTACTTTAGTCTGGAGAACTTCAGCCATACTCTACAGTAAAACACTGCGCAGGACCTGCTGACAACACTAAGTTAAATTATACAGATGATATAGGGAAGTTTAAGGAAACATATAACCTTCATACTTAATGTATTAACTGGAGAAGCATAATGTAAATGTACACCATTTAGCTGTGGGTGTATATCAAACCATCCAATTTCAAATAAATTATATCCTATTGATTTTCAACAGCCACTTGTTTTTAAAAATGTACGGGAACCTGGAGCCCATCCCAGAAAGCAAAGTACAGAAGGCGATTTAAAATCCTGGATGGAATTGCGATTTATTACAGGGCACATGCAATCACATGTTAAACCCCGGCCATCGCACTGCAGGAGACACCCAAACAAACAACAAGCCGACGTGTAAACTTTATACCACCAGAGCCTAGGAAACACTCACACGGCCATAGTTGTGGGTTTCATGCCTCTGAACCAGTCAAACGTGTTAAAAAAAAAGACCATAAACACTTCGAGTATATCCGTCACCTAAAAGATAATTTTAAAAAATCCTGCTTAGTATGTCCCTGTCATCTGATCGCGGCAAGTTTTCCTACTCCTATTCAAAAGCCTCCTATAAGAAGCGGGACAGTAAATGGACAAAGGCTTGGGGTGAAGGCTGATGCAGCTTCTGATTCAACCTCATTCTCCATAACAGGAGGCATCGCCCCCACTGACAAGCTATTATAATCTGTGCTGGGTTTTGGGTCACTAAGTTTCATTTTGTGCCCTGCGATGAGCCGGTATCCCGCGCAGGGTGTCCCCTGCCTTGTGCCCAAAGCTTAGACGCGGTTTTCAAGTGAGATCTTTGGTAAATGTACAGTAAGCCTAAACTGACCCGTGCAATACCCCTGTCACAGTAACATTTGCGTCTAATTCTTGGACTGCATTTTATTTTATTGGCATTATTCCATAGATTCCTTACGTAAAAGCTACTGTAATCTGAAACTCCTCTAAGCTCTAAAATCCTCAAAATCTATATAAAATTTGCAGGATTTTTTTCCATATTGATGAATACATATATAGAACGCTGTGAGTAAAGCGGTGGGCAGCGCTTCTCGGGGGCTTTTAAGGCGCCGTGGTGCGCCCTTAATTTCCTGCTTTATTTGAATAGACACACGACCCAAGAGCTCGGCTGTGATAGGTAGTGGCTGTGACGGCGGATCTACGCCTCCACCACCCACAGCAAGCCCGCAACGCTAACGAGTGTACAGGAGGGGACAAAAAAACTTCACTCCCGGGACGTAGGTGCTTGAGGGGCACGGTGCCGTTACATATTCAAAGGGGAAAAACCCGAATATTTCACAAATTGTTGTATGTAACCATTCACGACATATTGCTAGCGTTTTTAAATTGAAATATGTCATTGCTATCAAGACGAAATATGGATGCCGTTCTGAAGCTGGTAATGTAAATAACTGACAAGCAATCGTTCCAATCTCATGCATCAGCATCGATTATTCGGCCAGACGCAAAAGACACGCTCCTTTTACTAAAGTCCTGCACGCGACTGACAACCACCGACCATGATGTACGAATTGCTCAATGCATTAATTCCGCAACACCACTCGCGTGGAAACTGCAGAATGAAAGTGCCAGTTCACTATCTACATTAAACCCTGGTACCGTTTCCTAATTTAAACAATCCCGTGTTTAACAATAAGCCATGGGTGACTGTTAAGTTTTAATTTCCGAATACTTACATTGTCAAAAAGTGACCCGACATTTGCAGTGACTAGCAGGACGTCAGTGTAGGTTCCCATGATAACGATCGAGCTCCACAAATAGTCCGAGGAGAATGATTGTGGCAGACGTGCTGGTTATCCCGCACGTACAATTTATCTGTATACAAACAGCAGGATGAACGTCTGGCGCCAACGACTATAAAACACTATCTAACGCTTGAGTCGGAATAGACCTCTGCGACAGACATATTAGTTGTTCTCATGCTGTTTGTTTTCTCCTCGCGCAGTGAAACCCAGCTTCTCTCCAGGCTCCCTCTGTTCAGGCTGACACCTTGCGAGGAACTGACATGACAGGGGCCTCTTTTAGTCCTCGCATAGTAATCGGACCTGGTTCCCAGCAGAATTAAGTCCGGCACAGCGCGTCTGCCGCATTTAAACGCACCACCGTCCCGTCTGAGTCCTGCGCTGCTGCTGTTAATGTTACGTTAGTAGCGCGCCGGAGCTCCGCCCAGCCATTGCGCCGTACTGTGTTTATCCTGATCGCGCTTCCGCGAGACCCAGCGCAGAAGGATCAAATGAAGTCTTGCTGGATTGTTAGGAGACTACCGGCGTGGAAGGGACGATCTAAAGCGCAAAGAAGACTTGATGTAGCAGCTGTAATCGCATAATGAAATTGCATTCATCCGTCATTTTGTCGTAATAACCGGTCATTTTAAGGTAGTTTATGGCAAGTTTTAAATGTGCATGTTAAGGGCCGTAAGTGTTTTGGATATGTCTACACTCTACAGGACACCTCAGTCTTCTGGCCCAAGCTCCATTCATGAGTTGCCGCTGGTGTTTACTGATGTTTTGGTTAGGGAGTTAGTCTTCGTCATTTCGTTTCCTCTTGTTTTCGTTACCCTTAGAGTTAGCTTAGTTTGGGACGTGTGCGTTAGCTGTTTTGGTTGTTATTTTGGCCTGGGTCACTCCCGAAGTTTGTTGCACCTCGTGTTTGCTAATGTGTCTGTGAAAAAATATAAAAAACTATAATAAAAGATCCCTTTGTTTCCCGTGCTCCCTTTTCCCGTTCCCTGGTTGTCTCGTCTTCCCCTCTCCCTTTCCTTTACCTTTCTGTCGATCCTCAACCGTAGACTGGGGATCGTAACAGTGCATAAGCTGCCAGTGAAGAAAAGATACTGGACTGAAAGTCACAGTACTAGGTTAAGAGGAGCAAGGGTCTTTTACCTCGGAGCTGTGGTCTGTACCTAAGCGGAAATTTACTACGTCAATAATCCCAGTTTCACCGTCTCTATAGGTTGGCAGGTACTGGAAATGCTAGAGATGACTGTGGCGACATTTATACACGCCAGTGTAAATCACTAATGATGAAGTCTGCTGCTAATAACTTAAATTTCTACTCTGCTTGAACGGGTTCCTCTTCATGTCCAATAGTCTCAGGTGACAAAACAAGTAGTATTTCAGTCAAAAAATGAATATTTTACCCTTACAAACAGGCCTGAGCTTTTTAAGGAAAGTATACAGTAGAGACAGGTAACACGGTACAAGCAGATATCGTCTTATATGGTTAAATTGGATAATTAAAACTGGACCGTAAAGCCAGTTTGGGACATAGTTTAAAAGGCAAAAATCAAAATGTGAGCCTATTTTCTAATAAACAAGAGGTATGACTTTGAATGCTCTCTCTTTCCTGATCATATTTCACTGGCTTGTTAATTTGAAGGCCAAATCACACAGATCCTGCCACTCCAGTTTCAAAGCACCATTTTGCTGTTCTGTACCTATTCAACACTCAAATTATGCAACACACATATCTTTAATACATTTGCAGCATTAAGTATTCTTAAGTGTTTCATTTGTTCATCCAGACGTCTTGTGTTATCTTGCACCAAGACATTAGCAGAAGATCCTTTAAGTTGTGAAGTGTTTGTGAAGTGGGGCCTCAATGGAATAAGGTGCTCATTTGGAATAAGATTTGGGGGATTTGGAGGCCAAAACAACACCTTGAACACTTTTTCATGTTCCTCAACAATATTCCTGAATAATTTTTGCAGTGTAGCAGGGGGCATTATCCTGCTGAAAGAGGTCACACTATCAGGGAATACGGGCCATGAAGAGGTGTCCATGGTGTGCAACAATGCTTATGGAGGTGGTATGTGTCAAGATAACATCTATATGACTGCCAGGCCCCAGGTTTTCACAGCAGAATTTTGCCCAGATCTTCACATTGCCTCCACTGGCTTTCCTTCTTCCGTGCATCATGGTGCCACCTCTCCCCCAGGTAAACAACACAGCACCTGGCCATCTGCATCATGTTACAGAATATTTGACTCATCAGACCAGACCACTTTCTTCCATTGCTCCATGATTCAGCTCTGATGCTCTCAAAGCCCATTGTAGGCCCTTTCATTGGTGGACAGAGGTCAGCATGGACAATCTGACCAGTCTGAGGCTACGCGAGCTGCGATGCACTGTGTTCTTACACATTTGTATCATAGCCAGCATGACATTTTCCAGCAATTTGTGTTACAGCAGCTCTCCTGTGGGATGAGATCATATGGGCTAGCCTTTAATCCCCGTGTGCATCAATAAGCCTGTCGCTGGTTCCCTGGTTATCCCATCCAGACGACTGCATACCCTACAAAACCTGCCATTTTGGAGATGCTCTGACCCAGTCATCTAGTCATCACATTTTGGTGTTTGTAATTGTCACTCAGATCCGTACATTTGCCCATTTTCCTGCTTCCAACACATCAGCTGACTGTTCACTTGTCTACCATATGATGACATCCTTGAAAGGTGTCACTGTAACAAGATAATCTACGTTATTCACTTCAGATATCAGTGGTTTTAATGTTATGGCTATGTTAAGGGAAGTTTCGTACCACTTTTAAAGGGACTATGCTCAGTGGGTAGAAAATTTTAGTCAGAGACAATAGATTGAACCCAGTATGAAATGTTGTTCTTCAAATGGACTTCCAAACCACCCAAGATAGTTCTACCTCTACACTAACCATGGATCAGACCCTCTACCTACAAATAGAGAAACCGCCTTTTTGTGCAATCCAAGAGGAGCATTTGAACAGAGACGATAGGAAAGCTTTATGCATATGTCCAGCTTTTGATGTATACCCAACTTTGATGGGATGCTGCAACAAATTTTATGTACACAAATGGGGGTGCAATTGTGAATAAAAAAGGGGACGTGTATTTAAATCAAATCAGTCCTTACCGGTGCCTTGATGTAAGTTATTGAACATTCCATCTACTTTGAGCGAGTGAATCTGAAAGAACCATTAAGGAACCAAAAAGCAAGCACTTATTAAATGTAACAATTTCTCACTTTGAGAGCTTTTGATGGTCAATCTAGGGGTGTGGGTTTTGGAGCATGGCCAATAGGACAATTTGATCAGAGGAAATGGTGTGCCACAGAAGAATGCTGGCTATGTGGCTAAAGCAATGTGGCTAAAACGTGTGGTCTAGCTGCTGCTGACAGCACATCTACATGAGTGCCAGTTCAGAATCTTCCAAGAAATCTTGGTGCAAATTTCTTACTCCAGTTTAAGACAATTTTTATTCAAAGGTGAAGTTGCTCAATGCCCATAACATGTTGCAATTCTCACACAAATTTTCTGGGTAGTTGACTATTAAAAATGTAGATGTCTAGATAATGTAAAGAGCAGTTGGTGAAACTTCTGTAACCACCGGTCAATGGGAGGGACTCACTGTCCCTGATGACTTTATGCAAGCAAAACTAATTGAGTCATCTCATCTATACTTAGCAAAACACTAACATCTGAATTTGAGTTTGGATAGCGGTGTTCTTGGCAATCTGCCACCTTGTGAAAATGTAATAATTTACCTGGTGTCTATTTTCAGATTTCTTTGAGTCATATCAGTGTCATTTTATTAACACGACAGAATTCTTTTATCTTTAAAGCATAAAATCTGCAGCAAACAAGGGCACTTTGAGATGTATCTCTTCATGTTCAGGATGAACCAACGAGCAGAAGATATGAAGCAGACTGCTTTTTCCTCAATTACAGGTTGACTGTAAGACAGACCATCAGCTGTTGTAAAACAGAAGATGGGGAGGGGGAAAAAAAAAAAAAGTGTTCCCTTAAAAAGTGACGTATGGTTAAGTCAAATCCTGGAAGCATGACTTCTTCACCATACATCGGAGAAGCAGGGAATATCAGATGAAATCTTTACATCGGTTATGAGGTAGCTTCAGTCAAAAAATAATTATCCTTAATTCAGAAGTGGAACCAGTTTTTAGTCGCTTACTTATTTGGGGTCTTTGTCAAAGGCTAAAGCAACAAATATTCCATACTGCATAGGAACATGTAAATTTCTTTTCATGCCTCCCCAAACGTATATTTTCCATAATTTCCACATTGTGGTCAGCGACAATCACCTGACATAAACCACAGATAGACTGAGCTTTGAGTTTGAGACCATGTACTATAACATCCCATCCCAGGTTCCTGCACCCGAAAGTTGTAAAGAGTTTCCTTGCATTTTTCATGCTTTTGGAAACAAAATGAATGGGTGGGCAGGAACAAAGACTGGTTCATTTCAGACTGCTGTGTTTTACACATCCGCATAAAAAGCTTAGAATTATTTCTCCCACACAGAATGAGAATAACAAAAAGCCTTAAACTTTCCTTAAAACAATGAGTCCCATAAGTGTCCTCATGGCTTGTAATTTCACTTTTGTCTTAAATGTCACAAAAATATTAAATAACAAAGCAAAACAAAATGGTGAAACTTAACAGTCACTCCTTATAAAAATACTGTAAAACCACCACAAAACGAGAAGGCCACCCTCCCTCCCTCCCTCCATGGTATGCAGTTACACAAGTCCCTGGCACATAATCTTCTCTTATCATGGAAGAAAAGCGGAGGAAATCTAAAAATAAAAATGGAGAAGGCTGGTCCTCTTGCCAAAAGCTGTCTGCAATAGGAATTTAAAAAAAAAATCAAAAAAAAAATCCACAACTGGAAGAAAATAGTGGTTCCTCGTCATTAGCTGAGTAACAGTCTGGACAGTAAGTACTGCTGTGGTCCTGGGCAGCACCAGCGCTCTGCCCCCCCCGTTGTAGACTGCGGAGTTGCAGGACCCTCTGGGTGCTCAGCCCCTTCCCGGCTCTGTCGGGGCTGCTCCGTCGCCTCTTCCGCTCTCTGTCCCTCCTCAGGACCGGCTGCGGTCCTCCTGGGCGCCCACCAGCATCTTGCTGTACAGCTTCTGCTGCTCCTCCTTGAACGTGTCCTTCACCTTGTCACGCTTCAGCCCGCCGTCCCTGAACACAAAGGGCAGCCCCCATCACGGGGGTAACACTGAAATGAGGGCGCTGTTTGCTGAAGGGGCCCGATGAGTCCCTGAACACAAAGGGCAGCCCCCATCACGGGGGTAACACTGAAATGAGGGCGCTGTTTGCTGAAGGGGCCCGATGAGTCCCTGTAAATTACTCTTGGTGAGAGTACTTGCCCCAGCTTAAAACA